GGTTTTTTAGACACTTTTCAAAAAGTTTAGCGAAGTTACCAATTAAGCTTATTGGTCTGTAGTTTGATATTTGATTTTTAGCACCTGATTTATAGATTGGTATAATTATTGATTTCTTAAAATGGCCAGGTACAGTCCCTGTTTCAAAAATGAGATTATAAATATGCTTAAGGGGTGCCAGTAGATACTGATGCATATTTTTGATAAGTTCTACAGTAATCATATCGAGACCTGGACTACTGTCTGTTTTTAAACTGTTGATGTGCTGAATAAGTTCTTTGTCAGTTACTGGAGTTAGGAATATTGATTTGTTCACTGATTCAATATTATTTTCTAATTTAACTTGAGGTATTTTACCAAGCATCTGAAGACCTATGTTTGAAAAATATTCATTACAGTGGTTTGCCATTTCAAGATCAGTTTCAAAATTTTTGTTATTAGTATCTGTAATTTTTAAGAGACTTTTTGTTTTTTTGTTATTGTTTGTTATTTCTGTAATAATTTTATATGTTTTTTTAATATCTTGTTTGCTACTTTCTATTTTTTGCTTATAATATTCGTTTTTTACTGTATTTAAGAGCTTTTTAAGGTGGTTTCGATAATTTTTGTATTCTATCTCTTTTTCTGTTGTAAAGTGTGTTTGAAGTTGCCTTTTAATCCTGTCTCTCGTTTTGATAGCTTTAATTAATCCTTGTGAAATCCATGGCTTTAACTTTTTGTGTTTTGTGTTAATAGTTTTTACAGTTTTGCTTTGCGTCAAATAATTTTGAACAATGGTAATAAATTTACTAAAGCTAAGATCTGTTTCGTTAGTATCTAATACCTCTGCCCACCTTTCTTCTTTAAAGAACTCATTCAGCTGTCCCCAGTTAATTTCTGAGATTATCACAGTATTGCTGTCGCTATTATTATTATCTTTTTTGGTTGCAATATTTAATGAAACTGGATAGTGATCTGTAATGTCAGTCTTTATGATATACGAAAGTGTTTTTATGTTATTTAATTAACTTTACTTTTATACACAGACCCAAAGTGTTGAGCAAACAAATTTACAATTTCCTTAGGACACTCAGAAGAAACATCTTTATACTTCATGCTATTGGGTAACTCAAAGTTGTCTTTTTTTGAGTGAACATATTTCCAAAACATTTTACTATCACTTATAATGTTATCTTGGACATTATTAATATAATTTTTGTGACATTCATTCATCAAGTTCTTACTTATCGATCTTAGGATACAGAATTCCTTATAAGTTTCTAAGTCATGAGATTGTTTCCAAAGTTTATGTTTTTCTTTCTTATTTAATATAGTAGACTTAAGCTCTTCGCTATACCAGTTTGGGAACTTTTTATTTTTAGCCTTACATTCAGGAACATACATTTCTAAACCAGTGTAAACTATATCATAAAACCTGTCCATGGCTGTATTAATACTTTCAACATTGAGAATATCATCCCAAGCAAACCTACACAAATATGAATTTAGCTGGCGATAATCAGCTCTTTTAAAATCAAAATACTCATATTCATAAATCATAACATTAGCATCTACTTTATCTAGTGGTACATTAAAATTGATTGCTGGAAGATACTTATCACAGGGTAACATTGATTGATCACAAAGTTCAACACAAACACTTTCCATATCACAGAAGACCAGATCAAGAATTGATCTCGTTGCATTAGGGACATCATTTAACTGGAGTACATTCATATAAGCGAACATATCTATAATAACAGAGGCTTGAAGTGAAACATAATTTTGAGTTGACACTCCTAAAGCGTCATTCGACCATTCTGCTCCGGGTAGGTTAAAATCCCCGCAGACAATCATACTAGTGCAACCGGATACACTTACAGCCTCTTCCAGTGACGTACAATAATCATTATATAATTCTAGTGGAGAGCTAGGTGGAAAACATACATTACCTAACAGTATCTTACAGTTTTTAAAATACATCAACACAAAGAGGTGTTCAATATTATTGATAGATGTACCTATCTGCTTAGTTGTAATGGATTTGTCAACAGCCACAAGCACACCACCTCCGCGTTTATGTTGACTAGAATCCCCTGAACGGTCACAACGAAACAATATATAATTTTGAAACCCCAGCTCACCATCCGAGATATCTTGATGAAGCCATGTCTCCGAAAACATTATCACCTCAAAGTCTACAAGAGCTATCGATTGTGAGAGCTCATGAATCTTCGTCCTCAAGCCCTAAAAGCACACAAATGCACACAAGTCGCCACGGGAATTCACATTAATGAAAATAAAATCGGTATTGCCAACTGCCAACAATGCCAACCCCAATCTAACCCAACAACCCAACCTTTAAAACAGAAGAAATCCCAATGGCATTGAAAAAGCCTAAGAAATTATGCAACCAACAATTCATTTTAACAGAATATTTGGCCAAATAATGGCCGAATATTCAGCCAAAAAACAAGGTCGAGGACCGGTCGAATATTCATTATTCGGCCGTGACGATCGGCCGAATATTCGTCATTTGGCCGTGACAATCGGCCAAATATCTGGTGTTCGGCCAGTGACCCAAACCACGATTCGGTGCATCTCTAATCATTGGCACTTTTTCCTCTTTAGAAGATAGTGCTACTTAATTTAAAATTCGACGTTTCGTCTTCAGGCGGCCATCCTCATCTTCCTTTTTTTAAATTCGGACCTGAATTTTTAATTTGCGATTTTGTCATCTTCGGGCATCTTAAAACTGATACTGTTTTTCAATAATACGGTAAAAAAAGCAGGTCCGTATTTAAAAAAAAAAAATTGATAATGATTCCAGAGGAACGAAACGTTGGATTTTAAATTTAATACTGCCAGAAAAAGTGACAATGGGAATGTAAAATTAGTTTTTCCCAATCTTTTTAAATAAAATCAGGAAAAAATGAAAACTATACGAAAAAAACATGAATTTCTCGTTTTTCTTAAATTTTTTCCTGATTCCATTTAAAAAGATTTTGAAAAACTAATTTCACATTCCCATTGTCAGTTTTTTTTTTCTACAAGACGGCGGGAATCATCATCAATTTATTTTTTTTTAATACGGATCTGTTTTTTTTACCCTTTTATTGAAAAATTATAAATAGTATCGGTTTTAGGATGCCCAAAGATGACAAAATCGCAAATAAAAAATCTAGGTCCGTATTTAAAAAACATAAGTTGAGGATGGCCACCTGAAGACAAAACGTCGAATTTTAAATTTAGTAGCACCATCTTCTAAAGGAGAAAAAGTGACAATGATGAAGTGACATTTATTTTAAAATTGCTTTTCATATAAGCCCGGGAAAAAATAAAAACGATTTTACAAAATTTTGTTTTTTTCCAAATATCTCCGGAAGTATTCGGAATCTTTCTAGTTTCAAAACAGCATTCTATTGGTCATTAAATTGCGCAACTTTGCCATAATTTAACCGACCCCGTATCTCTTACGGTTACCGAGATCCCAATGATGACGCTCGAATTTGGGCCACCTTGTACATTGAATTTAATCAATAGATCAGAAAAATTAGAATGAACACAGATACAATAGAAAATTCCATTTCCTGATGTTGAATGTTATTTGAAATTACCTAATTTGTTTTGTTTGTTTCAGATACAATGCCAAGAGGCGTCACTGGCGTAGAACTAAGCTCAAGCTGTAAGCAGCTTTAGTTTTTGATTAAGGACTTTAAATAAAATATTTTTAAAAACTACCAAAATTTTAGTTTCAATCACTCCCACCTTTGTTATTCCATTAATTTGTTTAAAGTTCAAAATAAGCAATTTTTCTCTATAAATGTTGCTCTTTGGGTAGAGAAAGTCTCCAATAATTCAAATTGTACAGTGGAAATTAGAGATGTGATCGAAGCCGAATAATTATTCGGTTTTCGGCGTTATTTTCGGTATTTGGCCGAATATTCAATTTTCACAACTGAATATTTCATGTTTGGATATTTTACTGAATTTTTCAACATATGTATTTTTAATTAATATCAATTCGAAAAAGAAAATGAAAATACAAACTTCTGGGCCCTTATTCCCGAAACAGGAGAGCAGTGTTCTTATGAGATCAGAGATTCTGTCTTGTCATACATATTAATATTTCCATAACACTGACTTCTCGTGAGAACCCCGTTCCTTGGTTTCAAGAATAAACGTCTTGGCGTTAAGGAATTCGACTTTACACAAAGAACATAATGAAAAAATATTAGTACAGCAGAACAATAAGGGGTAGGAAAATCAATAAGTGGTAGATTATGATGAAAGACGAAATGCTCCGCTTTAGGAAATAACTGATTCCTTCTATTCTCGTACAGGTTTCTAGCTTCTGAGAATAGTCACTCACTGTAAACGGTACTTGGACGAGCTTATAAAATAGACCTTTTCAAACTGACTCATTTTTGGATATTTTATACAGTATTTCTTCCACCAAGAAAATGGACATTGGTCTGTGTCTAAAATTTCACCTGATAAATAAGCCTCTAACTTAATTGCAATTTCGTTTTTGCATTGGAGTGATCAAAGTCCTTACTAGTCAAGGCTATTTCATTGTTATATTTGAGCTCTGACATGCTTTAATAACTATTCGGTATTCGGTTCAAATTCAGCCGAATATCCAGTATTCGGCCAAACTACTATTCGTCACATCACTAGTGGAAGTGGTCAATGGCATAAAAACCCCATTCATTCTTGAACTTAAAGTGAGAAGAATAAAAATCTGTTTCCAGGCTTTCCTAGATTAGTGACCTCTTAATAGAGCTCCCTAGCTCTATCTAAAATAGAAGAAAACTCTTGAATTCGAAATAGAGCCACTAGAACTGAAATTGAGTCGGACCTCTACTTCCAGAGATAAAAACTTCTTTTAGAGCAAGATATCCCATCCTGGACAATCAAGAGCAAAAAATCCTGTAAAAATGAAGTTGATTAGGATAAAGGAATACATAGAGGATTTTATTGAAAGAGGATTATTTAAAACACTACCAAATAAATAAATTTTACTTTCATAAGCTAATGCATGTATTTAAATAAGTAGCAACTTTCATTGCCTTCTAAATATTGCATGTTCAGGCAACATCAAAATACATTCAAAAAAGTATCTCTTAAAATAAAGTTATTCCTCCATTTACAATTACAATGTCCAAGGAAAATTGAATCAAATTCCACTTAATAAAAAAAAAAAGTTGAAACATTAAAATTCAGTTACTAGTGTGTATCCAAGTTTCTGTATTACCATCACCAGTACCTCTCTGTACCAATTCATTGGGATATGTGACCAAAAATAATTCGTGACCATTTGTATATCTAAAAACAATAAACTGTTAACAAAATATAATTCCAAATTAAATCAATTTCCTTACAAATTTCTTTTTGTTATGGTTCCTCCGCTCATCATTTCAATATCTGGTTGCTCATAACTCAAAATATGCTCAGTGGCTTCTTCCTCTTCGCCAATATGCAACTCATTGGATTCATCATTTTCTTCCACTTCGTTTTTGTGCACTTTAAACTCTTGCACCTCTTCTTCTTCTTCTTCTGGTTGTTGTATTACTTGAACGACTTGAGCTACTTGAGCTTTTGAACCCCTAAAAAGAAAAAAAATTAAAACCTTTAAAACAACAAATCACAATTATTATTACCTTGGTGCAGCAACTTTCCCATGTGTTTTCTCATGCCTCTTCATATCAGACCGCACCCTGAAAGGCTTAGCACAAATCGAACAGTTATGGGGTTTCTCCCCGGTATGAATTTTTCTGTGATTCTGCAAATAGGATGAAGCCCTGAAAGTTTTGCCACAATATTCGCATTTGTAGTTTCTCTCGCCCGTATGAATACGCCTGTGCACCACCAAGGAATACTTCCTTGCAAACTCTTTGCCGCAATATTCGCATTGGTAGTTTTTCTCGTTTGAATGAATTGATGTTATGTGATACTTTAGGTCGCCCCATTGGCGGAATTTGCGGCCGCAATGGACACAGTCATAAGGCTTGTCTCCTGAATGCAACCTCAAATGAACTAAAATAAAAATAATAAGAATTTGTATGCAAATAATACAAGGATAAACCTTTTAGGGCACTAGAAGCAAAGAAGCTTTTGCCACATAGTTCGCATTGATGAGGCCTCACGCCACTGTGACTCCTCATGTGATAAACCAATGAATTTCTGTGTTTGAAAACACGTTCGCACAACTCACAATTGAGCTTTTCTTTAATTTTTTTATTTTTTTTTCTGACTATTACTGCAGGAGTTGGCTCAGTCATGCCACTGGTAACTCTACACATAACCAAATGTTGCAGTAAAATTGCTCGCAGAGCAAAAGGTTGTTTGCACAAGTGGCAAACGTGCTCATTTTTGTCTTCCAATTCTTCCAAGTCTTTTTCAGTTTGATGGAGTTCTTCTTCTTGGTACCAAGCTTTGCTGTCGTCTTCACGATCATCCCCTTGGAGACTGTCATAGTCTACAGCTACATCAATGCCTGCCATCATGTCCTCTGCATCAGAAAATTCATCTTCAGGTTCAGGTTTGTTGGTGTGAACATCTCTCATGTGAGCCTCAAAGGTTTTTTGACGTCTAAAGGTTTTATTGCATTCAATGCATTGTAAGCTTAATAAGCTTGACAGTAAAGTTTCTTCTTTTTCTTCTCCAGCAACTTTTTTTTCCTGCTTGAGGGTTGGAGGAGACTTCTTTTTTTTTTCTTCAACTGGTGGGGCTTCAGGAGTTGGTAATACTGGTGTAGCAATTAAACCGCCAGGTTCATAATGTTTTTTTAGATGCTCAAAAAATTTCAATTGATCTTCGAATGCTGTGTTGCACAGTTGACACGAAAATGGGGAGTTTATAGGCACTTTAGCAGCATTGCATGAGCCTTCATGTTCTTGCAATTCACTGGGGTTAGCGAAATTTTGACTGCAAAAGCTGCAAGTGTGTTTTTTGGTAATTGTACTGTTCTTTCTCAGTCTCCTGCTGATTCTTTTTTTATGAGGCAACGATTTTTTTGAAGTTCTATGATCGTTTCTTGAATAAGTAGATTCTCCATCAGAATCCATTTTATCGTCATGTTCAATGATTTCAATTTTATCATCATTCAGATTTATTGTAGGCTCTTCATCTTCAACCTGATGTATTGTTTCAATAGGAATACTTTGATCTGTAGTATCGTCTACAAGTCTAACATTTTCAACTATTTTATGAAGCCCCTCCTGGTCTATGTAAATATTATCAGAGTTTACAATTTTCAAATACTGAGGGTTGCCAGTGGCTTTGTCTGTAAGAATCAGCTGTTGGTGCTCTTCTAACATTTTATTGCTGGCAATCAAAGGTGGAAGAGAGGCATCTTGCAGTTGCTGTTGCTTCTGTTGCTGACTCAGTTGAACAGCTACGAGGGCGGCTGCAAGATTTCGATCTTCCTCTGTTAATTCTGAGCTCAGAAGGTCTTCAGAACTGAAATAAATCACAATTAAATTAACAGTCAAAGCCTAGTACTCATAACTTTATGAGTACTAGGCTCAAGATGGGACTTTTTGGGTTTTGTACCTGTAGGTTACTGGTAAGTACTCGTTGCCATCTAAATTGACAACCAGCCCATTGTGATTTTGTAGCAGCTCTGAACTGATTATTTGTGAATTTTCGGATAGGCGTATGAATTGGGGCCCATCTGATCCTTCAGATGTTATAACTACGTTTTCTAATATTCCTCTATCTCTTGCGTTTTCCATGTTAATTGTGCGTTATCTTGAAAAAACAAATAAATTGTGTATTTAGCATAAAAATAACATAAATAATAATTATTATAAATTACCTTTAAAGATTCAAATTAAGCGCCACCATAGTCCGATTTGTGTGGCGTTGACACGACCTTCCATAAACCAGATTTTAGCTGCAGCTACGCACTTTATTTCCGGGATTTAGGACTCCAAACGGGTCCGGGGGGACGGAAAACTACTCCGGCAGGTACCGCGGATGTTCAAATTGCGAATTTCCCCGGAAATTTCCAAAAAATTCACTCTAAATTACGATAATAGAACAAAAAGTGACAACAGTGCCGAGGAACCAACGCCATTCAACAACGACTCTCGTCATGCGGTATTGCCAACTTAGACATGGCCGATTTTTGTTTGATGGCGTTTTGAAGTTTTCGATGGGAATTGATTAAAAGGGGTTTTTATGGGTTTAATTGTGTTGGAGTTTGTGAAAAATTGTAAATTGGCCTCAGAATTGGCTTATTTTTCAGGGAAACTATTAAAAATAGGTTTATACCTAATTTGGCAGCATTGTTTTTAATCTATATCGATCATGGTAAGTAGGAAACTGTAATTTTTTTTTATTACATTTTATATGATTTTCTGAATTTTTAAATAAATAATTGTTTCTATGTTTATTGGCATGACAAATTTTAATTAAATATTTACTTTTAAAACCTGGTTAATGAAAATATTGAAATGATAAATGAAAAATAGAATTATGTTATTGTCCTTCTGTGAACGTTTTATAGATGGCGCCAGCTGTAAAGAAAGTTGATTTTTTGAGTTTTTATAGGTTAGGTGTGTAAGGAAGCATTGAAGCATTTTTATATTTCAGGGTTTTTCCTTATTCTTTATCCAGGAATCTATAAAAAGGCCTTTTAAGTCCTTTTATTTATTTATTTTAGCAAAATTTATTAACCGAGAGGGTACCAAAATGCTCATAATGTTTGAATTCCTCTGTAGGTATGTGTTTATTTTTGCTAATAAGCCCCCAATTTATAATATTAGTTCGAATTATGACTGAGAGGAATTTTAGTTAATTTATTACTCAACAAAACTTTTGTAAAATAGTCTCTGAAAACTCGAAACTGTTATAAGAGGCTCGAGGGGTTTTTCACCTAACAAAATTTGTACACCGATTAACTAATGTGATATTTCCATGTATTAACAGATATTTCTATGTACCTACCTAATAACAAATTATTGCCAACTATTTCCATGTTTTACCAAAATATTTTCACATATTGCCAGGTATTTCCCTAGTATTATCACATTACCAGGTATTGCCAGGCTATTGACAAACTAATCAAATATTTGTCTTGCCAGAATTCTAGGTATTGACATATCCACCTACATGTTATTAATGGGTATCAACCAATGACATTAACATATATTACCTAGATATCTACAAGTATTAACACATATAACCTACAATTAACAAGGAGGTATTGCATAGTATTGACACTATTGACATAGTATTAACATTAACCAGTGATTTGTACAGGGTGTCCCAAATTCGAAGGCCAACATGGGGATATCGGTAACCGTTAGAGATACGAGGGCGGTTAAATCAGACAGAAGTTGCGCATTTTGATGCTTAACAATATGACGTTTTAAAATTCAAGAAATTCATAATAGTTTCGGAAATATCCAGAAAATTCTGGAAATTGCGTATCTGGTTTTTATTTTTTCCAGGCTTTATTTTAAGAAATCGAGAAAAATGAAGACAACTTTCTAAGAGCAATTTTGGGTGGACTTCACTGTGGTGATATTATTCTAGTTTCGGTTTTTAAACGCCATCATCAACCTAATTTTTTGTAATACAGACCTGGATATTGAAATTGCACCTGAAACCTGAAACTACAGATTATTTTATTTTGCAACAAAAGAAACAAAAAGTCAAGAAAACTCGAGGCGAGTGAAACAGACATGACACGTGACCAAGTTAGTCCGGCTATTTCGCTAGAGGGACGTCTTTTTGAATACCTTCCTTAAATACCTACTAGTTTCTTTCTAGTCTTTCCCATTAGATGTTAGAGTTGAATTATTGTTGATTTGTTCTCGCTTGTTTGTTATTTGTTGACATTTTTCTTTTTTTGATACAAGAAATTAGATTTTATCAAGTATTCTAACTAAAATTTGCATGCGGATTAAAACTCGGAATCATAATCAAAAATTATATTAATCATTTTGCCTGAGGATAAATATTTTCGGTCGAAACGTCGGAATTTAAAAACGTGTTGTTTATGACGTATTCAGAATGTCAAAACAGAACAAATTATGTAAAAAAAAATCCAGGTCCGTATTACAAAAAATTAGGTTGATGATGGCATTGGAAAACTGAAACGTCGAATTTCTAAAATAATATCACCAGAGTAAAGTCCATATAAAAGTGCTTCAAAAAAGTTTTCTTGATTTTTCTCGATCTCTTCAAATAAAGCCTGGAAAAAATAAAAACCTGAATCGCAATTTTCGTAATTTTCCGGAAATATTGGGAATTTCTCAAATTTTAAAACGGCATTTTGTTATGCATTAAAATGCGCAACTTTTGTCCAATTTAACCACCCTCGTATCTCTAACGGTTACCGATATCCAGTGTTGCCGTTGACTGGGTAATTCCCCAAAAACCGGGTATTTTCAACTAGTGTTCGGGTAAAATATTGATGTGGGTAAAACCGGGGAATCCGGAATTACAGTCCTATTTTTTTTTTTTTTTTTTTCAACAATTTCAACTAATATTTTCCACATGGGAATTGAAAGCGCAACTGGTTTTATTTTACATGATTTTAGAAAAAAAAAACGAATACATTAAGTTCACACTGAATTTGACATTGACGTTTACATACCGTCAGGTCCGTCACCCGTGTATTGTTTATTGTAAAATAATATTTATACATAATATTCAAGCACCATCAATGGGCAAGTTTTTAAAATCATCAATGTCTCACGCGCATTTTCAACGATGTATTGCTGTCCTTGTCATTTGATAGCAGCAAAACAAGGATAGGTTACCCATCAGGAGAAATGCGCAGAAGCAATTGATGAATTTATGCCAAAATTGTAATTTTTGACATAGAGTTGTTGCATTTAAAAACTTGCGCCACATTGTGCTTTCTCTTGATGAGTAAATTAGCTATCCTTGTTTTGCTGCTGTCAAATGACAAGGACAGCATTACATCGGTGAAAATGCGCATATGTCATTAATGATTTTAAAAACGTGCCTCGTGCCCTAACCTAGCTCAATGATTTTGGGGATTTTGTTTTCAGTGTCCGGGTAAAATTGGGTATTTTATGAGATTGGAAAGGGTAATGAGAATTCTCGGTCCGGCAACACTGCCAATATCCCTATGTTGGCCCTCGAATTTGGGACACCCTGTACACCGATTAACAAGGTGAAAAACCCCTCGAAGAGGCTTTTCTAAAAATCCAAAAAATTCTCTTATAAGATTTTCCAGTCCTAAAATTTCCAGAGCATGTTAGATTATCCAAATATAACATTCATTTAGAATTCTTGTTTCTGGCAAGTAAATTCCTGTAAAATCCTTTTTCTTCCTTAAAATTCCTTTTAAATTCAAAATTCAGCTTCCAGGATTCTAATTTAAAGCAAAAAATCCTGTTCTAGATCTTTGAAGCTCTTTTCACTTTGGAAAGCAATTTTTCCAACTTGATTTTTGTCATTAGATGTTGAAAACTGCTTTAAGAAGGTGTTTGACTACTTTAAAAAGTCAAAAAAATGATTTCATGTTAATTTCACTGTTACTAGAGGAAAAAATCAATCCAAAATTGAACTTTTCTCAAGATTTCTCTTTGGGTGTTACAAAATCTTTTGGCCCTTCAGTCAGTCAAAAGGCAATAAATCAGAAAAATTCTGCTCCCAGACAAGTCTTGGGAACTCTTCTTAACTTTTCTCCCACAGGATTTCCCACAATAAGTGTTAAGCAATTTGGGATAATTTATCAATTTTTCTGAGTGCCTTTTCTCATAGATTTCGGCTTCAAATCTGAGAATAATTTAATGTATGGAGTTTGTGGGATATTGATTGACCACTAGGATACAAAATCTCAACAAAAAAAAATTTAAAATTTCATCGTTTTAGTAAGAAGGTACCTACCTTATGATTTAGATTTTGGAAAACTTTGAAAGGTCATAACTTTTTTTCTGTCGAAGATATAAGGCTGAAATTTCCAGCGATTCTTATTCCAGTAGAGGACTACAAGCCCTGAAAATTTCAATTCATTTGCCCTTATAGTTCCTGAGATAAAATCGTGTTAAGCAATTTGGGGTGATTTATCAATTTTTCAATTTTTCTGAGTGCCTTTTTTCATAGATTTCGGTTTCAAATTTGAGAATAATTTAGTGTATGGAGCTTGGGGTATGTTGATTGACCATTAGGATACAAAATCTCCACAAAAAAAAAATTGAAATTTCATCGTTTTAGTAAGAAGGTACCTACCTACCTTATGATTTAGATTTTGGAAAACTTTGAAAGGTCATAACTTTTTTTCTATTATAGATAGAAAGCTGAAACTTTCACTGAATTTTATCCCAATCAAAGGACTACAATCCCTGAAAATTTCAGCTCATTTGGACGTATAGTTCCTGAGATAAAATCGTGTTAAGCAATTTGGGATGGTTTATAAATTTTTTAATTTTTCTGAGTGCCTTTTTTCATAAATTTTTGCTTCAAATCTGAGATTAATTAATTAGGGTGATCTATTATAAATGTCACCCCCTTCTAACTTTTTTATTTGACATTTGTGACAAAAGTGTCAAATACAAAAGTTTCAATAAATTGTTGAAAGTTTTTAACTAAATAAGTCAGTTTTAGACATACAGGGTGTGTCAAAAAAGTGTAGCAGTGTGAAGTTATATTTTTTTTAATGGAGCACCCTGCATATTGTGCGCTTATTTGTTAGTCCCTTTTAACCTGATTTCAACGATATACGATTTGATATGTCTATCTTTGATATTTATAGGGGAAAACATGAAAACCCCTTTCATGGTTTCATATTGAAAAAAGAAAAATTATACCATTTAAGCTTTAGAGATTTTTTTTTTTATATACCTACAAGATGAAATATTATAATAAATTCAGGTGTCTAAGTTATTATTATTATTTTTGAAAAAATAACATGAGAGATTTAGCAAGGCATTTTCGCGTTTTTCCCTATAACTATTAAAGATAAACCGAGAGATAAACATATCAAACCGTATATCGTTGAAATCAGGTTAAAGAGGACTAACAAATAAGCGCACAATATACAGGGTATTCCATTTAAAAAAATATAACTTAACACTGCTGCACTTTTTTGACGCACCCTGTATGCCTAAAACTAACTTAGTTAAAGACTTTTCATAATTTCTTAAAACTTTTGTATTTGACACTTTTGTCAAAAACGTCAAATGATGAAGTTAGCAGGAGGTGACATTTATAATAGATCACCCTGTACCTACCTTATGATTTAGATTTTGGAAAACTTTGAAAGGTCATAATTTTTTTTCTATTATAGATAGAAAGCTGAATTTTTCAGTAATTCTTATCCCAGTAAAGGACTACAATTCTTGGGAATTTCAGCTCATTTGGCTGACTCTTCAAAAAGTCAAAAAAACCAATCTTGTATCAATTTCTAGTCTTCAGGGTTTCTAGAAGCAGAAGTTTATTCTGATCTGTAAGAAGCTCTCCTTGCTTTTCAATCATTCAAAATTTAACTTCCATAGTCAGAATGTCACAAAAATCCTGCTTCAAAACTCTTCCAAGCAACTTTTTCCATATTTCCTAGTTTACTTGAGTCTCTTTAAATATACAGATAAAACTCGTAAAACCCTTGAAAATTATACAATCTAGATACATAAACAAAAGTATCTGGATTTGCACAAAATCAAACAAACGCCTTAATTTTATGTTGAAAATTGGCTGAACTTTTAGATTAATTTGAATGTTTTAATGCGAACGATGACTTCCAATCAGAACTAGTTCCGGGAGCCTTCATCATAATAATTAAACAATGAAGTATTACATAAGATGTTACCTACCTACACAACTAATAATACCATAAACTAAATTGTATAAGTTTTTTTTTTTTCGAAGGTGATGGGTTTTACAACTGGTTTGCATTGAAACCAGTTTTACAATAATTTTAATTTATCTACAATAATCTTTGTAGATTTCCTTAAATCAAGCCAAATATAGATAATTGCTTTGCGGCAATTAGCCAATCTGACCCCTCATCATTAAACTTTCCAATAAATTTTAAGTACACTTATTTAAAGGTACAAGTTGCCATATTATTATGTAGAATTAATTTTACACCATTGAAACAATAACAAAAACATAATTATGCATATTATTGTAAGGTTCAATTAAAAGTGAATTATTCTCAAATAAATGCAGATGTGGTTTAGTTGCGACTTATCTTTTTAGAGAGAATTGTGTTAAATTTGAGAAAAGCTTTAAAATAAACTGTAAGCTGTCATAATTATTAATGGAAAAAGGTTATTTTTAAGTTATACACTCCCTAGAATATGAATGAATTACATTATAATGATTTTGAGCTAAATTGGTTTTGTGATTCTGCAGCAATTTCTATAGCTGCCACAGGCAAATTAAACACCTAACATTCATTTTAGAGCTTCTATTAAATACCTCTAATGAATATTTATATTATGGCAAAATAAATTTCGCGTCATCGTCCACTACCTAAAAGAGAAAGCTCTTCTGCCAATTCTACCAATACAGAATCAGAAAGTGTGTTGCTTCGATACCATTCAGTCGTATTATTAAGATTTTTTTTTTAACTGAAATTTCAGCATGTTTATATTGATAGCATGTGTGGTGGTACTATCAGCCACCGCGATAGCCGTGATAAGGTCCAAGAAACCTTTGAAATTAATTTTGGCTGAGGCCAAATACGAATTGTTGTACAGTGCCATGGGCTCTAAGTATATGATGCACGATATACTTATGAGGAAAAAAAATATTACAGGTACCTATACTCATTAGAAATTCAAATTTAATTGTTTTGTCATTGAACGCAACAATTGTATTTTTTTTTTTTTTAGATTTGCCTTTGAAATCGGGTAAAACAGCAGTTATAACAGGCGGCACTCGTGGCATTGGTTTGGAAGTAATTAAACTATTACTTAAATGTGATATTAATGTAATTATAGGTAAATTTCTATAAACTAAAAATCCAATTTCTTAAAAGTTTTGGGCATTTAGGTTGTAGAAATATTCAACAAGGTGAAAATCTTCTACCAAAATTCCGTGAAGAAGGCATTTCAACAGGGAATATTGAAGTATTTCAATTAGATATTAGCGTATTAGAATCGGTTAGAAAATTTGCTGAACTAGTCAAAAACAAACACGACAAGATTGATTATTTAATCAATAATGGTAAGACAAAAATATTTACTTTTACCTCTTGTGGGCTTTTAACAAAATAGTTCACTTATGTAGCAGGAATAATGTTCGGGTCCTATGTAGAATCCCGAGACGGTTACGAATCCCAATTTTCAACCAATTATTTGGGCCACTTTTTGCTTACCTACTTATTGTTGCCAAACTTAAAAAAATCTGGCACGGAAAATCTCAAATCCAGAATTATAAATGTGTCTTCTTGCGCGCACATTATGGGCAAAATTAATTTTGACGATATCAATTGCAGGTAACTGGGTCTGGATAGTTTTGCAATAGTTGAATTGACATAATATTTTAGAGCTCAGTATATTCCTGGGGAAGCTTACGCTCAATCCAAATTAGCTCAGATTCTATTCTCGAATCATTTGAATGAGCTTTTGAAAAAGGAAAATGCCAACGTCCAAGTCCATTCTGTGCATCCAGGTTTAGTCGATACAGGGTTATTTAATGATACAAATATGAAAACAGTGGCGCCATGGCTGCCATCGTTGTTTTTTAAGGTACATTATACAGCCAAGTGAATAAAATCATAAACAATACAATGTAAATCTTGAACGAGAAATCACCTGGAAAGTTTTTACAACTAATTGGAAGAAGTCCAAGCAAGTTTGAGGTGTTATTAAGGAAGTAATGGAAATATTTATCAAGATATTGAGAGGTGGTTTCTCGCTCATGGTATGATGACCAAAGTTTTAGAAATATTTAGAAATTGCCAACTATTATGAAAATAATTATACTATTATACAGACTCCTGAACGTGGTGCCTATCCGATTATTCATGCATGCCTCTCACCAGTACTGGAAGGAAAAGGTGGTACCTACATTGATAACTGTCAGGTGGTTCCGGCAAGTGACAGAGCTGAAAATGTGGAACTGCAAGAGAAACTTTTCAGTTTTACTAAGAAACTGTTGGATATTGAAACGTTCAGTTCTTTGTCTTAGTTGTTTTGTATTTTATTTATTGTGATAGGCGAAAAAGACCAATATAGGTGCTATTTTTTTTGTATTTTTTTATATAAAGTTTTTTTTTTTAATTAAAAAATAAAAAGTGTTTTTTATTTATCCGTGTATACAGGGTGTCCAAAATACCATGGGCCACCATTGGTATATCAGAAACGGTAAGAGATACAAGGGCGGTTAAATTAGAGAAAAGTTTCCATTTTCGAAGGGTATTTAAAATATATTTTCGTTGTTGCCAAATTTTTATCAATTTCCTAGTTACAGGGTGATTTGTGGAAAACACCTAAAACAATTTTGGCGAATTTTTTAAAAACTATTGATTTTAGAGACAATCTTCAAATTTGAAAGTTTCATGTTTTTTTTTTTGCTCTACAATATGGTGTTTTGTAATGTTAAATCCGACGTTTCGTCTTCAGGATACCATCCATCATCAACTTAATTTTTTAAAATACGGACCTGGATACCATTTTCTTTTAAATTTTTAATTTTTTTTCGTGATAGTCAACAGTCGTGTTCATCCGTTGAATAATAAAAAAAATAAAAATTTCAATTGTATTTTTATCTGAAAAAATCCAAATGAAAAGCAAAACCCTTCTCAAATCCATTAATGCAAAACTAGCGAAAAACTGAAAGCGCTGGACCGTACTCAGGGTAAATTTATAATAAATATGCTTGATAATGGATTTTTTTACCGAAATGTTGGAAAATATACATGTATGACACATAGTAAGATTGCAAATTAAATTGCCTTTCAAAATATGAGATAAAAAATCCAGGTCCGTATTCAAAAAAATTAAGTTGATTATGGTATCCTGAAGACAAAACGTCGGATTCAACATTACAAAACACCATATTGTAGAGCAAAAAAAATCATGGAACTTTCAAATTTAAAGATTGTCTCTAAAATTAATAGTTTTAAAAATATTCGACAAAATAGTTTTGAGTGTTTTTCACAAATCACCCTGTATCTCAGAAACTAATAAAATTTTGGCAACAACGAAAATATATTTTAAATACTCTTTGAAAATAGCAACTTTTTTCTAATTTAACCGCCCTCGTATCTCTTACTGTTTCTGATATACCAATGGTGGCCCATGGTATTTTGGACACCCTGTATAATGGTATAAGTTTCGTTCGCACAGTTTCTCAAGAGCCTTTAATAAAAACGGTCAAATATTTCCATAGCGGCTTGAAATAGAATTACAAAATTTTTTGCATATGGGTAATGAATGATGCCCGATTCAATGATGACATCGACAATGTTGCCAAGTTTACCGGTTTTCAGCTAATGTAGGTAACTTTGTTTTTTTAAATAGGAATACCACTTTATTTTCATTGTAATAAATTCGGCGCTGTATTATTATTGAAACCTCTTGATATCATGTCCCTATCTGACACGGTTTCTGAAATATTGCAACACAGCCTTTTTGTTCAAAAGTCTGGGAACCGGCCAATTATTTCTAGAGCGGCTTGAAATAGAATTACGAAATTTTCTGCATATGGGTAAATAATGATTCCCGATTAAATGATGACATCGAGAATGTTGCCAAGTTTACAGGTTTTCAGATAATATAGGTAACTTCGTTTTTTTTTCTTCAATAGAAATGCCACCTTATTTCTAATGCAATTTTGGTACTATACCTATTGTAAGTGAAACCTCCTGATATAAAATCCCCATTTCAAGTGGCATTTGAAATGTGGCAACATAGACTTTTTGTTCATTCAAAAGTTGGAGAACGGTGGAGTATTTTGACAAAGGCTTAAAATGGGATTTTCAAAATTTGATGAAGAGAAGTTATTGTGATGCTCAATTTAATGATGGCATCAACAAATATAAAAATATCGATACGCTGGGATTCACTCGGTTCAAAATTCATTATGACAAAACTTTGAAGGAACTTGCCCATCTGATAATTACCTCTACCAGTGGAGAATAAACAAATGAATATCCAAATTTTTAGTTATTTAGCGTACATGTAGGTATTCTTTCATGCTATTGTTTTGACAAATTGTCAAACAATACAGGGAGTATCAGGTATGAGAACAAATATTTTAACATGAGAAAATATGACCTATTTCAAGCCAAGACTGTCCTATCAAGGCTACTAATCATGAGTTAATTGTTAGTATTTTCTGAATTATCGCAAAATTTAAATTTAAAAAAAATGTTAACAACGTGACAACATTGTAGAGATCATTTCTACCAGGATATTAATGTAATAAAACTGGTAAATTCTATTTTTTTGCAAGCATTTCCTTTTATTTCGACCTGTTTACGTTTTGGTTTGTTATTCATTCGCTTTCAAATAATGTAAATAATATTTGCATTTTTATCACTTTTCAAGTAAAAATAAAAAATGAGCCGTTTTATTAAGTTGTGAATTGCACTCAATGACATTTTTGCACTGAACATTCAAGAGAAAAAATTTCACACACTTACACTTCCCATATCACGCAATCTTTGTAAAACGGACCCAATGTTCTTTCATCAGGTGGGTGGCCTTCTATTGGGAAATCTTTCCCTGTAAATTCTGGCGGCTGAATGAGCATTTTGCAACGATTCTGCCTTAACAAGTATATCTGCATAGCATATTCGACGTTTGTGAACATTTTATTTTCAACCACCTATTCTTTTGTGCTATGTTGCCAAATGTTTAGATACCGAATTACGAGTGAAGGTTTCATGTTTTTTCAATATTTTTTTTATTGTTGTTGACTAAAAATGCATTATTACTTAATAATTGAATGAGTTAATTTTTTTTTTTTGATCTCATAATAATGATTAACATTTTCTTTAATTTTCAAATATTTATCAAAAATTGTCATAGCTCAAAGATCTTTTTCTGATGAAAATTAACTACTTACCTAGTAGTCCTATTTGAAAAAACGAAGTTACCTACATTATCTGAAAACCGGTAAACTTGGCATCATTGTCCATGTCATCATTGAATCGGGCATCATTAATTTCCCCATCTGCAGAAAATTTCGTAATTTTATTTCAAGCCGCTCTGGGAATATTTGACCGTTCCCAGACTTTTGAACAAAAAGGCTGTGTTGCAATATTTCAGAAACCGTGTTAAATAGGAACATGATGTCAAGAGGTTTTAATAACCATAGAGCGCTGAATTTATTGCAATGAAAATAAAGTGGTATTCCTATTTGAAAAAACGAAGTTACCTACATTATCTGAAAACCGGTAAGCTTGGCAACATTGTCGATGTCATCATTGAATCGGGCATCATTAATAAACTATTTGCAGAAAATTTTGTAATTCTATTTCAAGCCGCTCTGGAAATATTTGATCGTTCCCAGACTTTTGAAACACACTGTATATGATAGAATTATTGGAACTATGATTTTTCATCTTTTCTCAGAAATCATGCAACTCAGAAATGTTGAGATTTTGTCTTAAAATCAGGGTTGCCAGATCTATGAAGTGAAAAAGTGGGACTGATGTTATCCAGAAGGAAAGCTCGAAATTTTTTTTCGGGTGCCACGCCCAAAAGCATAAGGGGGAGGGAGGGACAGGTTCCCAACTAACCCAAGAATTGTAAATTAACAAGATTGCTCATCCTGAGAAGGCGTACGTTCGCCGGTTCTCGAGTCCACAAGGTCTGCGAGTGACGTCACCACGCCAGCAGCTAATAGTGGTAACGTCACCTGCAGACCACGATGAAATGTGTGCGATTCAGGCTCGTTATTTGATTTTTGCGTCGATTTTAAATGAAAAAATAGCTATCAACAGGTTGTATAATAAAATAAGCGTGTTTTTTGCATTAAATGTGAAGATTAGGTGGAAAAAGCGGGAAAACCGGGACCTGAAATTAATAAAGAAAAGGCGGGACCGATTAACAAAATGCGGGACTGTCCCTCCTAAGGTGGGACGTCTGGCAACCCTGCTTAAAATCAATATTTGGGACCCTCCAAAATCCATACTGTAAATCATTTGTGAAAGTTTGAAGCCGAAATGTTTTGACAGAAGAGCGGTGGAAAAATTGAAACATTTCCTTTTCTTACTTTAGCGCCTTTAGTGGGATTTCATCTCTGGAACTATAAGTCCAAATGAGTTGAAATTTTCAGGGTTTGTAGTCCTGCACTAGACTAAGATTTCCTGAAACATTATTCTATTTATAATACAATTTTTAGAAATTTATCTTCAACAGAGAATTACAATTTCCTTATTGAGATTTTGATACTGTGAATCATTACGTATTTGAGCCAAAATGTTTGGAATCAGGAGAAGAAAAATTCTCCTGAGAAATATATTGACCAATATCGATCAAAATACTGAACTGGTACATTCCTCCCAGTTGCCATCGCTAAAAGATCATTTAAGAAATTAAAAATATTGAAAAATACTTGAAAAATTCCATAAGTCAGCATAGACTGCATGATCTTTCTATTTGACTACCAGACATAGCACAGCATTCAATATGGATACCTATTAAGTATTTTGGTCGCTGCTCCAATAAAATTACCTATCCAATGGATATAGGAGCCACATAGATAATCCAAATTTGAACTATTATTGGCTCTTGATTCTCTGGAAATCTTTCCTTTGAACTTTTATCAACTCTGGATTCGCTAGAGAATATTTCTAAGGACATTCCAAGCTCAAGAGCCGATAATAATTAAAATTTCGAATGATCATTAGCACCTTTTAAGTGGATATTAATCAAAATTTCTTATTCCGCAGCTCCTAATTGGCTCAAGAAAAATTATCCAATGGATCAAGAGCCACAGATGTTCAAAATTTGAACTATCACCGGCTCTTGATTTTCTGGAAATCTATATGTAAATCACCCTGTATAGACAAACACAAATTTGAGAATTAAATAATTGTAAATTTTATAAACCTTATTTCTTCCTAATCAAGTCAATTCAAATTTCAAAGCCCACAAGAGATATCAAATACTTATACAAATTAATAAAACTCTGATTATGATATTATATTTTAGCTGGTACCCTATTTGGTCCTTACCGAGAATCTCCAGAAGGGTTCGAGCTATAATTCGCCACAAACTACTTGGGCAATTTCTTGTTGACCCATCTACTTCTACCTCGAATAAAAAGAGCAGGATCAGAACAACAATGCTCTAGAATCGTTAATATTTCATCCCTAGCGCATCTTATGGGGGATATTAATTTTCCAGATATCAATTTAAAGCAAGTGAATGTGCACTTAAAACTTAATGTAATTTTTGTATCTGATATTTTCTAGGAAGTTTTATGTGCCTGCAAAAGGTTACGCTCAATCCAAATTGGCTCAAATTTTGTTTTCCAATTATCTAAACGCTTTGCTTGTAAGGGAACAAGAACAAGTTCGAGTTTATTCTGTTCATCCTGGAGTTATAGATACTGATATCATGAAAAGCCATTGGTATGGTAGTATACCTGGGTTTGTAAGAAAATTCTTTTTTAGGGTAAGTGCTTAATACTATCATTATTTAATTTTTGATTATTATTTGTGCTTCCAGACTCCAGAAGAAGGAGCAATTCCGGTCCTTTACGCCTGCTTATCGAAAGATTTGGAAAATAATGGTGGAACTTATATAATGGATTCTAAAATTCATGCTCCAAGTGAAAAGGCAGCAAATGTTAAGCTTCAAAAGGAGTTTTTTGATTTTTCTAAAAACTTAATTGAAACAAAAAGCTTTAGTACATTAGAATAAGCTTGAAAACTGTGCCTATATGAAAACAGATGGAGCCACAAATATTATAACCACATATAAATTCAATCAGCTGTTCTTTGTTTTGTTTGTTGTTTGTAATATATTTTTATAATAAATACAATGTTTAAACTAACTAAACCTCAACAAATCTACATAATAGTTGCTCTAGCGGTAATTTCTTTCGTTATTATATTTTACTTTACTGATTCGCCAAACAATGAAATAACATTATTAAATACAACTGAACAGGAATATAAATTCCTATCAGACCCCCAAAAACTCCTCAACATTACATTTACATACAATTTAAATAACAAAAATGTATGCAGTAACAACACCCAAGAAAATATATTGGCTGTTTTTATAGTAACATCATATTTTGGCAATGTAGAAACTCGTAGTTCTATGAGGCAAGCGTTTAGCATAGAAGATTTACGAAAAAAAGGACTTAGAAGGGTATTTTTACTAGGAGAAGCTTCAAGGGACAAGTACACCACACAAAAGTCCATAAATGATGAAAGTAGGCGATTTGGAGACATAATTCAAGGCAATTTTTCAGAAGCATATAGAAATTTAACTTATAAGCATATAATGGGACTTAAATGGGCAAGCACCTATTGTCCAAATGCTAAATATTTGATTAAAATGGATGACGATACTGTTGTTAATATGTACATATTAAAAACAATGCTTAAATCATTAGAAAATATATACAATAAAGATTTCATTGCTGGATATAAATTAGAAAACATGTTAGCAATAAGACAAACAGCAAATAAATGGTATGTCACTAAAGAAGAATATCCATCAACCAAATACCCAACATTTGTATCTGGCTGGTTTTACATTACCAAACCCCAAACAGCATTAAAACTGGCAACAATAGCAAACTACCAAAAATACTTCTGGATAGATGATGTTTTTGTAACAGGCATAATAGCCAAAAAACTCAAAATATTACTTTTCGATATCAGCAAATACTTTGTAATCAACTCGGAATTTTTGCAATGCTGCCTGCAAGATTTGAACAAGAAAATTGACTGCGATATTTATGTGGGACCCAATGGAGGAGATGATAATATGTTTTACAAGTTCAATGAGAAAATAAAATTGTGTCTGAACGAGGGGTGCATCAAAAGAAGTAAACCTTTAAATGAAACTTGTGTGGCAGAGAAGAAAGTGAATTTGGGCAAAGGCGATCCTGAGATTAATGATTTTAGACTTAGTTGAAGTGAGAGAAAGGTGTCTGTGATTTATTTATTTTTGTACTTTTGTATTATATTAATAAGGAATGTACAGGGTTTTCCCATTTGAATACGAAACATCATCCGATTCCAATGTAATTAGGCTCTAATTGGAGCTAATTAAATTCTCTACAAACCTATTAATTATGATTTTAATTTGGTTTCAACAGTTTTGGAACTGAGAAGCTTCAATGTTTGAACATTGAAAATTTTCTAATAATGACACTGAGGTGGTTTTTGCTTCACAGCTCCTTTAATATTCATCCGATTTCAACGTAATTAGGCTCTAATTGGAGCTAATTAAATTCTCTACAAACCTATCGATTAAGATTTTAATTTGGCTTCAACAGTTTTGCAGCTGAGAAGCTTCAAAATTGAAATGATCGAACATTGAACAATTTCCAAAAATGACACTGAGACTGTTTTTGCCTTACAGCTCCTTTAATATTTATTTGATTTTAACGCAATTAGGTTCTAATTGGAGCCAATTAGATTCTATACAAACTCATTAATCAATATTTTGATTTGGCTCAAACAATTTTGCAGTTGAGCAGCTTCAAAATTGAAATGATCGAACATTGAAAATTTTCCAAAAATGACACCGAGACTGTTTTTGGCTCACAGCTCCTTTAATATTCATCCCATTTCAACGCAATTAGGCTCTAATTGAAGCCAATTATATTCCCTACAAACCAACGACGTAGCTATAGCTTTCACATGGGGGGGTTTAGAGCAGTAATGGCCGCTCATGGTCTATGCTGGAAAGGGTTTCAATTTTAGACCAGACGATGTATAGGCTACCGAGTGTAGCATAGTCAGAGCTGTTTCGAGTACAGGCAAAATGTACTCGGCTACCGGGTACAAGTACTTAGCGTAGAATGTTCTTGAGTACAGAGTACAATTCAATACCCAAGTATTCAAAGTACCGTGTACATTTATGAATACATTCTAATACCACCTTGCATTCCTACCCAATGATGTCATAGGTACAAGTTATTACGCAACGTCCTCTTTTAAACAGCCTTAATCTATCATGGAAATCTAATGAATCCTCATAGGCTGCAAACGCTGAGGTAGCTGCGAACTTAGCATTGCACATGGGTTATGACGTCACCTCCCCTTTCACACTTTTGTCACATTTGCCGAAATTTGCCATCAAACCGCCGGTATAGATGTTCACACATCAAAAATTGAAACACACATTTTGGTTTACTAAATGAATTCAGCTATTTTGAAGTTTGATTTGGTTATCCAGAGTCCAGAGTTTATTAGGACTCGGTTATAACTGCACAAATTATAATGTATAATTATATATTCTAACCAGAATTAAATTATCTTTAAGATAGAATAAGATTCAATTCTCTATCTTGAATAGTTCTGGAGATATTGAGGCTCAAAGTCAAAACTTTGTCTCAAATTTCACAAAAGATTCAAAGCTGATTTTCTTGAAAACGAAGCCCTTGCGCTCGGAATCTCAAATAACCTTTTTTATAGCCCTTCTCAAGAGCTACAATTAGGCAACAGATTCATACCGATAGCTTTACTGGTTTCCAAAATATGGCTCTTTGAAATATTTGAAAATCAATTTCCCATGCATACCCCTTTGCAAAAATTTGAATTTTTAAATTTTTGGATTTTGCAATTTTTGACTTTACCAATCGAAAGAGGAGGTGAAAATTAGTGGAAAAGCTTTTACGCAACTTTGTTTTTTGGGTTAGTTTGTAAAAAAATAGAAACCTTTTTTCCACATTTTGGGCCCAGGAAATTTCAATAATCTGACACTGTCTCATAAAATCGCTCATTACTCGGTTATGACTGCATATATTATGATTTATAATTATATATTTTGAATCAGAATTAAATTATCTTCACGATAAAATAAGATTCAGTTCTCTAATTTAAATACTTCTGGAGATATTGAGGCTCAAAGTCAAAACTTTGTTTCAAATTTCACAAAAGATTCAAAGCTGATTTTCTTGAAAACGAAGCCCTTGGTTACGGAGTCTCAAATAACCTTTTTTATAGCCCTTCTGAAGAGATACAATTAAGCAAAAGATTTATGCCGATAGCTTCACTGGTTTCCAAAATATGGCCCTTTGAAATATTTGAAAATCAATTTCCCATGCATACCCCTTTGGAAAAATTTGAATTTTTAAATTTTTGAATTTTGCAATTTTTGAGCTCAGAAAATTTCAATAATCTGACATTGTCTCACAAAACCGCTCATTACTCGGTTATTATTGCAACAAATATGATGTGATATGAATCAGAATTTAATTATCTTTAAGATAAAATAACATTCAATTCTCTATCTTAAATACTTTTGGAGATATTGAGACTCAAATTCAAAACTTTACCTTAAATTTCACAAAAGATTCAAAGCTGATTTTCTCGAAAATGAAGCCCTTGGGTTCGGAGTCTCAAAAAGACTCAAAAAAAAACAATTATTTTAAATCAAATGATTTGTTGCAAATCACGCGAAAAAAGTGAGGCTACCGGCCGAAAAAAGGAAGAAATCAATGATGAAAAACTGGAAAAGATTGTAAAACAGATCTTTGAGGCCACCTTCATACCATTCCAAGATGCACTACACAAAGATATGCAAGAACTTAAAGATTCGGTTCAATTTATGTCGGACTCGTATGAAGACCAGAAGTCATTCACTCACTGAGGTAAAGCAACTTAGAGACGAAAACAAGATATTAAATGAAAGATTGCAAGCTCTAGAGCAAAAATCGAACATTCAAGAACAAAAAGAACGTCAAAATAATATTATAGTGACCGGCATCCCTGGCCAAGAAAATGAAAACACAAAAAATGTCATACAACAGGTATTTCAAACAATGGCGTTAAATATACCTGAAAATGCAGAGTGTTATAGAATCAAACAAAAAAAAGATGGACCCATCCTTGTGAAATTACCGGAACCCGGAACCTAATACAAAAATCAATGTTTTAAAAAAAGTGAAAGAATTAAAAGGAGTTAAAGTTAATGAATGCGGATTAATTGGAAAGAATGGGAACATATTTATAAACGAAGACCTTACAATGACCAATCAAATACTATTTAGAGCCGCCTGTATCTTCAGGAGAGAAAACAACTTTGTGGCAGCCTTTTGTAGAAATGGAAAGGTATTTCTTGAAAAAACCATTGGAGAATCAGCCATCCAAATAAAATTCCAACAAGACCACAGCCTGAAATACACATTATTGCTCTCACGGAGACATGGATCTATCAAAATGAGATACAGTATTTTAATCTACCTAACTACAGTGCTGTGCATCATTGTAGAGACTCAAGAGGTGGAGGGGTATGCTTGCTCGTCAGGGAAAACCTAGATTATGAGATTAAAGTCAGCTCAAAAATAAGAGTAAGTGACTGCAATGTAGTAAGCATTTATCTTACCCAGATAAACTGCACCATCACAACAATTTACAGACCCCCTAAAAACCAGGCCATGTCATTTATACAGGACATAGATAGTACAATGGAAGCTCAAAAAACACCCTGTGTTATTATTGGAGACATAAACCTAAATCTACTTTGTGAATCTGATGCAGTTAAAGAGTATAAGAATGTTGCTGAAATGAATGGATTTAAAATACAAAATATTCTCACGCCTGAAAATGCCACAAGGAAAACAGATACCACAGCCACCATATTGGATCATGTCTTGACAAATAAAGACTTGAACTGCAAGATCAGTCTTGCAGATCATATAATATCAGATCATAAAATCATGTATATAGAGCTAAACAAAAAAGTTACCAAAAACGCTAAAGACTACATCAAGAAATCAAAATTACACACACAAAAATGGAAAGAATCCGTACAACAGGAACTACAACAAAATGAAATCACATCATTTAGCAAACTATCAGAAATAATAGCAAAAGCAAAAGCTGAATCCACGACTGAGCACAACATAAAAATACATACTGGATAAATGCAGAATTTATCGAAAAAATCAAACAAAGAGATAATTTCTATAAAAGATGGAAATTGGTAAAAAATTTAGAAACTGAAAGAAATTTTAAAAAATTTAAGAATGAGGTGAACAACTTAAGGAGAAAATTAAAGAAGGACTATGTTGAAAAAAAAATTAATGAGGCTGGAACAAATTCAAAAAAAATGTGGAACCTACTGAACAATCTTTGCTCAAGAAAAACAAAAGGTGCAAAAATAACTCAAATAAAGGATATGACAGGAGAGACTCTCAGAAATGAACAAAAAATAGCAGAAGAATTCAACACATACTTTTCGAAAGTTGGACAAAACCTAGCTTTAAACATAAATCCCATTACAAACCAAACGTTTAAAGAAGAAGACTGCAATGAGTCAATCTATCTTGAACCCACAGATAGAATAGAAATATATAATACCCATAAATGATCTTAAAAACAACAGCTCACCAGAGGAAGATAACATAACAAAGACCGACGTAGTACTGCTTTTTGACATGATTGGAGAAAAAATTGTAAATATTGTTAATAATATCTTAGAAGATGGAGTGTTCCCTAAGGAGCTAAAATGTGCAAAAATAACACCTGTGCATAAAAAAGATTCACCACACGAATTAAATAACTATAGGCCAATATCGGTGCTAAAGACATTTTCTAAAAAAACAGAAAAATTCATAAAAAAAAGAATGATTAATTTTATTGAGAAAAAGTTTAAGTTTGATACCCATCAGTATGCATTCCAAAAACATAGCAGCACTTTAGGAGCCTCGGCAGATCTACTGGAGTCGTATGTATCAGAAGAACCTGTTTTGACAATATTCATCGATTTGCAAAAAGCATTCAATACAGTTGACATAAATATAATGCTAGGTAAACTACAAGGGATGGGATTTCGAGGAACTGCACATAAACTCCTTCAAACATACTCTATAGGCCGAAATCACTATACAAAATTAAATAAATCAGAAAGTGGAAAAAAGGAATTTTGTATCGGTGTTGCCCAAGGATCAGTGCTGGGATCTCTGCAATATTTGCTGAACATACACAACCTTAAATATTTGGTACTGGAAGCAAAATATTTTGTATTTGCTGACACTATCTTGGTTCTGTCAGCAAAATTTTTAAAAGAACTAGAAAAATTAGCAAATGATGAGTTGAATCTCTATCATTCATGGCTGTGCTACAATAAGCTATCTGTAAATAAAAACAAGACTGTATATATGATTATTAAACAAAAAAACAAGCAAAGAGGTGATATAAACTTGTTTCTTGATAGTGTAAAACTCAAAGAAGTACAAACATATAAATACTTAGGTCTGAACATAACAAATAATCTTGATTGGAGCCTACATGTGACTGAGGTTATAAAAAAAATTGTTCCGATCGTTGGTGCAATAAAAAGATGTACAGATAGTTTAAACAGAAAATCTAGACTCTTGCTTTATAACAGTTTTATTCTGCCTCACATTAGGTAATACCTTATTCCATGTTGGGGAAACTTACCTACTTATGTATTAAATAAACTACAAAGGACACAAAATAAAACAATAAAAACCATCTTCAATTTAGACCGGCTCACTTCATCAGAACTTCTGTATAAAACAACAAAAATATGGGACATAAAAAAAATTAGGACCTTTGAACAAACAAAATTTATGTATTGCCTAAAAAATAAACTTCTTAAAACCAATTTAAATGTTAAGCAAGTGAAACAGCTACATGACCATGATATCCGAGGTGCAAACGACTTCAGAACAAATTATTCACGAACCTTGAAAACGCAAAGATCTCCACTGTATAGCAGTATACAAACTTATAACACTATACCAAAGACAGTTGTAGAAATGAGGACGATGAAACAATTTACTCCAAATTTGAAATTATATTTGCAGTGTAAATGAATATATAATTAAGCTAAAAACTGTAATTTATTACCACACTTTATACTTATTATTATATTATGATTGTATATTGAGGCTCTGGTACCAGTGATTCTCACTGTTTTAGAGTCAGTTATAAATAAATAAATAAAATAAAATAACCTCTTTTTATTGAGATAAAATTCAGTGAAAATTTCAGCTTTCTATCTATAATAGAAAAAAAGTTATGACCTTTCAAAGTTTTCCAAAATCTAAATCATAACATGTGATTTATGAGTTTGCAATTGGGTTGCTTATGACCGTGTTTGGGTTGTGCTTCAAGGTAGCTTTTGATAATTATTGTAAAAGGAAATCAGAATTTCCAAATTTATGGCCACAGACACAATGTCAATGTGCACAGAAAAGTTCAAAATTTTCGTTTGCAAATCACAACGATCAATGGAACGCATGCTAAGCATCTGATGCTAAACAAGAAATGGCTGAAAATTGGGCATATCGTAACCGTAACATAATAGGTCTGTTCCAACATAGCAGGAAACCGTACAATTTCTCGTCATGATTCTGCGCAAACTGTAAAATTTGCGTGTAGATACCGAAATTCGTTTACTGAGTGGTTTCGAAATCGTTCATGGGACGGTTTTTGACGTGTTGGAACAGACCTAATGTCAGATCTCAACTTGTCTGGAAATGTACCATCATCACCAAAAGTATCTGGGACAAAAATAATTCATATTAATCTCCTGGACTAATTCTACTGTTAGTGTTGTGAAATTCTCGGTAATTTTCGAACGTTACCGAACTTTCGGGAATGTTTGAGAATCTTCGAGAATTTATGAGAACTTTGGAGAATGTTGCAAAAGCACCTATAAATTCGGCTTTTTGATGTAGGGCTTGTAAAAATGTCTATTAATAATAAGGTTTCACTAAATTTCCCTATTTTTCTTTTCTCTGGTAGGGGTAGGTGAATTTTCCATAAATGTAGATATAACCCTTGTCTATGTATTATCAATTTATTGTAAAGAAAATGATAATCAGGCCTATGATGTATCCATTCCTGTTATTTCAACAGCTATGTTATAGCTCAACATCTATACTTCTCTCAATTTTGACGAATAGAATAAACAGTGACAGGCAACTTAACGTTGCTATAAAAATAATAGAAAATGATACATCATAGGCCTGAATATTTATAAAACTAATACAAGTCTTGTCTAGAAAAAGGAATTTAAAAAACAACTTTCTGAAGTAATAACACAAGTAGTTATAAAATAAAAAAATAATAATAAAAATATTCAAAAATCAGGGTCCATGTCCATGATTCACTGTTGTCAAATCAAGCGATTAGGAAACGTTTAGAAATGCATTTTCAGCGAACTTTCGGCTTAGAGAGGAGCGAACATTACCGTAAATTACTGTGATAATGCGAACGTTCGCTCGGTAAAGTTCGCTTGTTACAACACTATCTACTGTCATTCATTTCAATGCATTTAATTCATAATTTGATAAATATTTGACACCTAAATTCATATAATAGTACAAGAGCTAACATGATGCTGGCCCAGTTACTTTTGGTGACGATGGTACTTGTGGCCAAATAAATATGTATTTAGTTAGAGTCCAATAATTTTACTCTGTAACTACAAATGTATTTGAAAACAATGAAAATACCCGGGTATAACAAATGTATTTAAGTAAAAATGCATGTACATGGGTATCTTGAAAATTACTCAGTACAAGAAAAAGTACCGGGTACCTATTTTCTATATTCTTAAGCAGTCCAAGTACGCGATTCAGAAAGTATCTTGGCCTGAGTACCGAATAACTAAAAATATATTTAGAGTACAAGTGAAGAGTACTCGTACCGTACCCGAATACCGCACAGCTCTGAAGCCCATCAGGATATCATCAAAAACGAATTTTTTTTTCGGGTGCCTCGCCCAAAAACGTTTATTTTTCTTCAATAAAAATAATTTTTTCAGTTCAATGGGGAAGGGGGTTCGAACCTTCAAACCCCCCCCCCCCCCGTCCTTGCTACAAACCTATTAATTAAGATTTTAATTTGGCTTGAACAGCTTTGCAGCTAAGAAGTTTCAAGATTAAAATAATCGAAAAAATTGAAAATTTTTCAAAAATGACACCGAGACAGCTTTTGGTTAACAGCTCCATTAACTTTGATCCGATTTAAATGTAATTAAGCTTTAATTAAAGTCAATTAATTTCTCTACACTTTTGCACTGGATTTGGAATGATCATACATTGAAAATTTTCGAAAAACGACACTGAGACAGTTTTTGTCTCACAGCGGAGTTAATTTTCATCCGATTTCAACATTATTATGCTGAAAGTAAAGCCAATCAAATTCTCTACAAAGCCCATTAATTAAGATTTTAATTTAGTTTCAAAAATGTTTTGCAGCTGAGAAGCTTCGAGTCAAATAAATTATTTATTAATAGAGTCAAAATATTTAAATCTAATTTGCTCCACCTTTTCCCAATCCATTTTGGAATTTTCATAAAGTCCGTGATGCTCCTTTATAAGCCAAACAGAATCAAGTATCTGTCCTTGTTTGTCATCAGAAACTTGTTCCCAATAAAGATGAGTCCCATTATAGGCTCTCAGTCTAGTATACCCATAATCGCGACTAATAAATGCTGACCAATCAGGCCTTGTCCCATTAAACCCTTCCCTACCTTCCTTACAGCCTGCTGACCCTGTAACAAAATGAACTGGAGCTTTGGGATTGGTGTAGGGAGTCTCATAGGAGCCATTGTAAACTTTGTAGTTGTAAATGGGCCACAATCGTTCGTAGCTGTGTTCGTGGGCCCAAATTTCCAAGTCCACTCCATAGTTGTAGAAGAGTTCTTCTAGTCCGAACCAGTGCAAAAATGGCAAACCCACTCTTGTTAAAGTTTCATGATGAGTGCAATCATCTGTGTTTGAATTGCTACAGTACATTGGTCTGTGGCCTACAATAATTATCCATGGATGTTTTTCTCTACAAAAAAATTATTAATAAAATAAATCAAATCTAGCAAATTGTTTACCTGTTCTCAGGTAAGTTGGCTTTAATTAAATCTTCCTCCAACCAATTATATTGGAAGACTAAACTTTTCAAGCCATAATTCAAGAAATAGTAGATTTCTGTAGATACAGAAATAATATGCATTGGCCCCATATCAAAACTATACATGAGTGATTGGCTGCCACCTGGCATACTGAATCTTTCTCTGTAATGACTAAAATTGCTATACAAAAAAACCATTATTAACAAAAGCAAATTAATAAAACATTAACTATTACTAAGCTTCTTCGTGGTTTCCTGGACAAGTCATGTAAGGTAAATAAGCAGCAACAGGTTCGATTTGTCTCATAAATTGATCTCCAATTAATCCATCGTCTGAATCCATATCGTAAGCAAAATCTCCAATGTGTAATACAGCATCATAGAGTCCTCTTTGTGTTTCTTCTTGTAGTCTAACTAATGATTGGGCATTTTCATTGCCCATATCACCATAAATGACTAAATGTGGTGCCCAATTATCACCTGCTGGAGCTGTTTTGAACCAGAACATGTTTGACCATCCTAGATTGCTTCCACAATGGTATACTATTTGAAATTAAATTAAATTGGTATTTGTTTTTTTTTTTAATAATTATTAATTACCATATGCACTGTTGGGTGTTAAATTATCCAAAACCACTCTATGGATATATTGGGAATGTTTCTTAGAGCCTCCATCAACAAATAAGTTAGAGCTACCTTTGGCAGTGGCTATGAGACCTCCAATTCCATATTCAACCAAAGATTCTTTAGTGTCGCTGAACGTCGACCAAGTCACTACAATTTGATGAATATTTTGCCCATAAGAAATGTGTACCTGCTCTGGCTGATAATAAAGGACATCGTTGGTAGCGAAAACTCGAGGCAGGACGAAAAAAAACAGCGTTAAACAGGACAAAGGCATGGTGACACACTGTACGAGCGACAAAAATAGAATTTTAAATGTTTCAAAACATGATAATTCGTTGGCGATAACGATTTAATGCAAGGTTTCAAACAAAGAATAGTTATTTGAATATTATAAATAATGGACAAGGAACTTTTGTTGACATTGAAATTTTTGAGGTTAGGTATGTAAACATAGTAAACAAAACAATCCCAATCGTAGCCCAGTTCACTGTTAACAATGTTGCCAATAAAGGTTTTTTTCTTATTTATTTATGAATATTTATTAAAATATAAATAAAAACACATTTTAAACTATTTAAAATTAATTAGTATTCTTTGATTTATGTATACCTACTTGCAATAGAATAATTTTGTTTGAAAAGGTAACGCTTATATTTAATTTGAATTGAAGCCGACAGAGATAGATATATTGTAGTATGAATTTAAATGAACAGCATAAAATAATGTGCGATTTTTTTTTTTGAATGATGAGCTTTTTTTTGGGTCAACTTTCGTGTATCAGAAAAAAATTGAAAAATACCTTCAAAAAGCCTCCATAAAAACGGATACACAAATTTTTCTGCGGAAATGCTTCATTTCCATTTTCCGGATACAAATACAAAAATTTTTCTGTAGAAATTAGCTAATTCCATTTTCCGGAAAAATTTATGAGACTTTAGAATAGTCGAAATCAATTGGGTGAAACATTGAGTTCCTTGGCATTGTAAAAATTTTATTGAATGTAAAAAAGGAAAAATGTTATATAGATTCTATTTTCGAACCCATTCAAAAAACGCCTCTTCCCTACTTTTGATAAAAATAAATGCGGAAAATGCACATTTTCCATGAGAAAATTATAATTAAAATTGAGATTTGGCCCACATTCGAAAATCAACTACGAAAATTCCCTACTATATCGGTTGATCGCTATCAGCGCGCTTTGTTGTCAACCAGTACACTTATGACATGCTTATGACCAGTAATAAACGAGCTGTAACCATACCCCGCGATCTTTAAATGTACCACTTGGTTTGATAAAAAACTTGTTTCATGCCCGGGCCGGTAGAGGCGCTACCAATTGATTTGCGTACGCGTTGTTGACTGTATCTCCAAGGTGTCTCCGCTTCTGGAGAAGAAGGTTGACGTCATTTCCAATAAAATGACAAATGATGACAAAACGATGAAGATGAACTGCAAAACGTTGTGCTTCTTGTTGTTTTTTTATATCCCTGTTAAAAAAGTGTTTCGTATTGTTAATAGAGCGTTATCTGTGTGTATTTGTGGACTTTCACAGTGTGATGTTTAGTGTAACGACTAGGTATTATTGTTATTTAATTCTGTGTTGTTGAGGGTTGACTTTGTTGACAAGTCGCGAAACGCCAACATAACTTTCTTCTTTCTTTGTAATAAACCATTATTTGTTAAATTTGTATCAAATTGTGTCTTTATCGTAAAATAAATAGAAAGCAAATCCAAAAAAATTAGAAGGAAACTGCTCTACAAGCTGCTACAATGGGATGAGCTCTCTTCATAGATAACAGATGGCACCACAAATGGTGGTTCGACCCGTATAACGCGAGTGTCCATTCTATCCCCATTATAAACCTTATTCTACTGTGGCTGTAACGGAACTAACCAAAAATATGCAAACTAATCCTTAGTTACCGCTACATGGAGTGCTAATCCTTTAGGACTTGTAAAATTATATCTGGAATCGCGTTTCCTATTAGGCCAGCGCACACGTTGTCTACCGCTACATGGCGCGCTACTCCTATACTTTTTATAGTCTGGCAAGTGGTAAGTTGATAGAGACGAAAAGGGGAAGAAAAGTGGGACGTAACCTAAGGGGCGCGTTCACAGTGGTTTACCCTGGGTAAAACTTAACCAGGTTAAATATTTCACTGGTTGAAAAGGATGCGCTTGGGATAACAAATCCGTGAACGACTAACGCCTGCGCCATAACGGAGGTAGGATTTGATTTTGTTTTCCTTTTGTTTACATACGTTGTGTTTCGAATGTTTCGAGATGGATCCGGGAATAGTATTTTTTTAAAGTACTATTGAAACTTCTTCGGATTCGCCTGATACAGAGGAAGAAGTCAGCTATGCTGTTGCACAAGCTGCATCTGCTAGCGCTAGCAGTTTAAGTTCAAGCCTGAAAAAAGGCATATTGGAAGACAGGATAATTTTATGGCAATAAATACGCAATTATAGCGATAAGGAGTTCCAGGAAAATTTTAGAGTTTCCAGAGAGGCTTTCAACTGGCTTCCTGGAAAACTTGAAAACCAGTTGAAGTCAGCAATGTATGGCCCAGAAAGATTACCAACAGTATTGTTTATAAAATTTCAAATATGCTTGTAAAACGCCTGCGCGACAAATTTTACCCATGTCTCAGAATGGGTTGAAAGTTGTACAACCAGGTAAACTTATCATGGCTCTGTGAACGGAGCAAATATTTTAACCGGGTGAATTAAGTAGATCCGTGAACGACTTGGCCGTTTCCACCAACGGAAATTTAAGTTTACTTAACGTTAAGTGCCGCTTATATTATAATTTTGTTTCCACCAGTCTAACCTAGTCTCATTAAGACAAGCTTAACTAAGCCCAGAAATTTCTAGGCTTATTCCTCCCTTAACAAAGCGGCGATGATCTGCGCAAGTCATTTGCATCATATGTTTTTGTTGACATAACAAACGTTGAAATTGAATTGAGATAAAATTAGAATGTTCTCAATTTTCTAATTTCTGATGTAGTTCGCGTTTTTTTTTTCTCCCAAAACCTATTTTTTTCAGCCAGAGATACTCTGTGTTATTTTTTTTGATGTTAACGATAATAGAGACTTTTTGCACCCCTTAAAATAACAGCAGTTTTTGGATCAGTTATGGTTACCTTTATGGGCGATAACGATTACCACGACCTCGACCACGACCTTCAAAATCAGAGATTTTGCATCGCCTAACGTTTACATATTTCCGTTATTTCTATTTTGCCTCTGGGCCATGAACTGCGCCTGCGCCTTCAGTTGTAAACCAATTTCATAACATCAAAATGATAACCACACTTATTTTTTTTAGAATTTCAGATGATTTTAATTAATTATTTATAAAAACGGGATTTTTCTTCAATGTAGCATCCACACAATTTTACCATAACCATAGGTATAGCTATAAGCACAAGGTTATTCCTCCTTAAATAACGCCGCTCGTTGTGGTTGATAAGTACAACGAACATTTTTTAGCTACTGCGCATACTCAGTATAACGATAACCACAACGGAATGGCAAAATAAGAGGTGCAAAAAGTCTCTATCAGCTCTTTTTCCTTTATTGTGTAGTTTGTCTGGCTTTTTTTGGATAAACTCTCCCTGTTTGTTCTTATTCCCCGACTCCACGCTGCTCTAGGCACCTTCGTGCTCGTTCACACACAATGCAGGATAAATTACCAATATCTAAACCTCTTCTCTGTGAAATAAACCGAACCCGGACAACAACAACTATCTATTATTAATTATAATTTATAATCTTAAAAAATTAGCGGGAAGCGTCGAATGACAGATAACATTGACACGACTAGTGTACAAACGAAAAGTACGCAAATCTTTCACCTGAAATGCAATGTTGCCAGAGCTTTACGATACTTAGCTAAGCTTGCACCTAAAAACTATGGTGGAACGAACTTATATGTGAGTGTCCCTTAACTTTTAAGGGCTTCATCTTCATAGTTAAGCGAAGCTTAGTTATAGTTTGGTGGAAATGGCCATTAACCCTGCAAAAGACGCGCTCGGTGTGCACTCGGTGAGCGTCCGACGTTTCGACAATAACCACGCTACAAGCTCTAACCTTGGCCTCTAACCAATAGAATCATGCCTTTGAATAGTCACGCCTCTCCACATCCATCATTTCGCAATGTTGCCGGATTTTTTTCTATTTCAAAATACTACACATGCCCATATGAAAAAAAATATATGTCACGAGTATGTCACCATCTTATTTATTACTGTTTCTGTCAAGTTTGGCAAATCAGCAAATTCTTTTGCAGTTCGCCGTTTCGCTAGCCAGACAATACAATTACTCTATCACCCACAGTGGCGACAATTGCTATCTTATTTTTGATTGGTTCTAAAATCCCATATATTTATATTGAAAACGCCGCCATCTTGTTCCCAACTTCTTGTTACTTTTAAATATGAATATATGGGATTTAGATGAACATCCATCATAAATCATGGAAAACAACGTATTTGATGGACCTAATAATAGTCATCAAATACGGCGATTTCAATTTTTTATGATAGATGTCCATTTAAATCCTATATATTAATATTTAAAAGTAACAAAGAGGTTGGGAACAAAATGGCGGCGGGACCTCTATTGTCGCCACTGTATGTAAAGGTTTATTTAGCCACTGTAATACTTTGAATATAAAACTACAGCAAGGAGCATAACTTCGAATCTGCGCGACCAAAATATGTGGAGGTTGCATATGGCCGACTAGTATTTCCCGTTTCGCAGAGGCGTATATTTATTTAAATAAAATATGATTGTCAATATTATGACTCACTCTTTTCACACTAATCCCAGTGCTTATTATCACTCAAAAACGCTAAAATCCATTAAACATTCACTTGAATGAGGACACAGCGAACCACCAAAACAAAACAAATAATGAGTCCATACTTGGAGGCTCAATATGGCTGTTTCCGTCCCTGCGTTGTCTGTAGTGACAGATAGAAAACGCTCCTTCCTGTAGTTTTATATTCAAAGCTCCTATAGGACTTGTTAAATTATGTCCGACGTCGCATTTCCTATTAGACCAGCGCACATAAATTAGATAACTACGCTCATTTTGCCAACCATGCTGTTACATTACTTTTGACATTGGGTTGGTTTTTAATAATAATTAATAAAACAACTTGCAGAGTTTAACTTTTTTTGTAGCAGTCAAATTTTTTCCAGCAGTTATAAAAAAAAAAACTTATGGAAATTTTTTTCGAAGTTGCAGGCGAGCACTTTGCCGCGGTAGAATAGTTATTTGTATACCAAGCCGCGAACTGCCTTTTAGCGTACGTAGAGAAAAGTTATCGCCGAGGCCGCTTGCGGCCGAGGCAAGATAACCTCGAGGACGCTAAAAAGTTTCGCGGTCATGGTATACACACTATTTTTTGTGCAACCATGAAAATTATGTGGAATTACAGAAAAAATTTACTCCTTTCAACAACAAACATGTGGAACTAATTATCAGTTTGATGTATAACCTGGTGGCACAGCGTTTCTATCCTTGCGTTCGGTATTTTGCTCGAAGAGCAGAGCGTGCAGAGCGGAGCCGTAATCACGTGACCAGCGAGCGAACAGAGCAGTTGAACGCTGTATAAAAGTGCCAGAAATTTTAATAAACGAACGCGAATGAGGATACACCGAGTACACTTTTTGAATAAACGAACGGTAAAGTCAAGCTCGGAGAACTCAGACCAAAATAACGAACGCACGGTATGGATGTCATGGATGACATATTTTGCAAGTAAACAAATATACAAAAAAATGACGGTTCTCAAAAAATCGTGAAAATATCCGACAGCGATACAGATATTTCACTCTTTTGCACTCCTCCAGACCTAAAAAATGTGGTTCAATCAGCTATTTCTGAGTTAATACCTGGAAAACTAAGCGGCAATATGAAAATTGTTACTGCGAGTTCAAAAAATTGGTGTGACAAACAAAACGTCAAAATGGTGTCTGAAAACATATTGGCTAATTTAATGCAGAAATGGGAGGTTTTGAGAGGTCAATTCAAAAACACTGGATTATTAGTTGCTTCAGCTTAAGGAGTAAATATTAGTAATAATGCAAACTGTCATGTTAGTGTTAATATTTATCCTAAATAATTTATGTTGTTCTGAAGAATTTGGAAATAAAATTTACTCATTGTTGTTGTCAAAGTGTCAAATTTTGATTTATAGTTTCGCGGCCGTCACCAAGGGCAACGGCCGCGAAATTGAATTTCGCGGACTGTGTGGCGGCCGCGAAAGCTTATTTTGCGGATGGTTGCACAAAAAATATATTTATTAATAATAATTGTTTCTACTGTACCTAACAGGAAAAAGATATTAGTGACAGCAAAGAGCTTTATACTGTTACAATACAACCAAGGTACTTTTTGCTAAATTAGTAAGGTGCGTTCTACTACTTGAATAGGATCGTATTTACACAGCTAAAATTTCTGCTATGATACGAAAATACATTAGTAAAGAACTTTTGGCTAGAGGATTTCTCAATACAGAATCAACAAAAATAATAAAACGAGACACAACGAGAAATATTACAAAATTATCACCTGTAATCACCAATAAATTTCAAAAAGTGCGACAACGATAATGAAATGGATCGCAGTACAATGGATGTCTGCAGACGATCACAGAAGGGGTGCGCTGGTCTAATAGGAAACGCAACGTCAGTTACAATTTAACAAGTCCTATATTATTAGCGCTCCATGTAGTGGTAGACATAATGTGCGCTAGCCTAATAGGAAACGCGATGCCAGATATAATTTTACAAGCCCCCAAAGGATTAGCGCTCCGTATAGCGGTAACCAAATAGGAAACGGAAAAATGCAACCAGTCCACGTAATGCGTATACCAGTCTTTGTATGTCTCTATTGAATATAGAAAAACAAGCGCGCTTTGGTATTAACCAATACACTTTACACCTATAACCAGTAATAAACGAAATGTAACGAAACAAACCAAAAATATGCAAACTAACCTAAACTAACCCGTCTAACCCCCAGTTTCACAATGTGTAGTCACCAAATGGTTAAAAGCTAAATAAACCAGAAAGGACCTAACCACCATATTGGTTAACGTCTTGCCAAGTCTTGTCTTGTTGATGGATTGTTTTTCTGTATTGTATATTTTTTTTGTTTATAAACTGAATATGGATTTACATGAAATTAATGCATTTAGCTTGCAAAGACGAAGATGGACGACGTGAAAAAATAATTTAACCAAGAACTAATTTCTTTGAAGAATATGATAACAAGAAAGATTGTCCTGACAGGTTCAGGCTTGTGTTGAGATTATTACCAAAAACCGGGGAAAGGATAAGTGAATATTGTGATTGTGAACAAATTACAGATTATTTTCATATTCCTTTGAATTGTTCTTGTCATTATTATTTGTCAGTCTTGGCAGATTTATCTGCAGATGCCTCAACCATTGGTCACTGTAAACGCATTAGTTAAGTGACCAAAAAGGTCACCAGACATTGTGAAACTGGGCATAAGTAATGCATACTAGTCCCTGCATGTTAATATTGAATTTAGAAAAACAGCGCGCTTTGTTATTAACCAGTAGTCTGTTCACTTATAACCAATATTGAATGAACTATAACGAAACAAACAAAATATATGTAAACCAACCCAAAGTCACCCGTCCACGTAATGCATCCTAGTCCTTACATGCGTTGATATTGAATTTAGAAAAACAACCAACAGCGCGCTTCGCGCGCTTTGTTGTTAACCAGTAGTCCAGTACACTTATAACCAGTATTAAATGAACTGTAACGAAACTAACCAAAAATATGCAAACTAAACCAAACTAACCCGCCGTCCACGTAATGCTTATTAGTCCTTGCATGTTAATATTGAATTATTTGAATTTAGAAAAACCACAGCGCGCGGCTTCGTTATTAACCAGTAGTCCAGTACACTTATAACCAGTATTAAATGAACTGTAACGAAACTAACCAAAAATACATGAACATTTTTTAAAATGCAAAGGAACATCAATTTTTCACGCAATTGATTTCAACCATTCTAAAGTCTGATGAATTTTTCCGCAAAAAAACAGCTGATTTCCGCAGGAAAATTTTTGCGTTTTTTTATTCAGAAAAATGTTAAAAATGCAAAGGAAACAATTTTTTCAATGTAACTGATTTCAGCTATTCTAAGTCCGGAAAATGGAAATGACCCTTTGTCCGCAGGAAAAATTTATGTGCTTCTGATAAAAGGGAGACTTTCTGAAAAACAACATCTCTTATTGTATACCTGATTTCAGCTAAACGAAAGTTGGAGCCTTTTTTTTAATAATAATACTGTGTGCAAATTGCATTTTATATTAATTAATAAAGTTAATAAGCCACTGTAGCAATCAATCCTCTCAAATCATAAATCTAATACCCATTCCATCTACAACAGCAAAATAGTGGGGCAATAGATGTAATAAGTTATATCTTCATCAAACAAAATCAGTTCTTTTGTGCTCTAGTTACTTTAAAGAGTGCATATCTAGTAGTCTATACCTATACCTATGTATTTCTAGTATCAGTAGTTTCTAGTAGTGCTACCTTAGAATAATTGTTAATAATAAAATGGTAAATACACTTAAATTTTGCAATTTTGAATGAGATTTTGCTTAATTTAATCAAATTAAACTAATGTCATGTTTTCGCAAAAGTAAAATTAGAAATTTTTATAATTTTTGGAAATTTGATTGGGCAACAATTAATAAATATGTGCTCCAATTATTTTGCATAAATCACGATTTGATATTTGAGGATTATCAATTGTAGTAAATCTTGTTTATCTGGTTATTTGATATTTGAACATTCGCCTAAACTATTTCTAGCTTTGACCATGTATACCTTCAATAAATGCCACTTCCCATATTTCAAATTGTGAAGCTAAGAAATCAAATCTGTGAATTACAATAAGTCAATAATGATTTTTGTTTCCCATAATCAATCAAAAAACTTTCATTTTCAAAAAAAAAAAAAAATCAGATAATTATCCACAAGCCTTACAAATTATATATATCCGCCACTTGAAAAAAATATATTAATGTTTCATCTTCCATCAATTGATTTGCAATAACTTTTGTTACCTATGCGATGATTCAAAAAGTAAAAGGATTTTTAATAGCATTTTGCAACAAAGCACTAAAATTCACCCGTGAATTGAGCATCCTTTTATTAGCTATTGAAATCCAATATCTACCAATATGAAATAAGTATGGATTATTGCCAATGATGATAAAACATTGAATTGTGTATATCTTCTTGCGCAAAAACGATGGTAGGTACTTGGAATTTATGCATTTATAATGCAATTTATTTTGATTTGATTTATTGCATTTCGTATTTGGAAATCAAAACGTTCATTTATCTACCTTATCTCTAGATAATACTACCTTATCTCTAGATAATAATACAATTATTGAGCAATTTTTAAAAAGTGTATGCTCTTTTAAAATAAACTCTAGGATAATACATTGCTCGTGGGCCTGATACATTCATACTCTAAGCATTTGTAGTTCTTATCAAGTCTGGATGAGGATCGGGTAAACAATTCTTTTTTAGTTATTGAAGCAGGATATGAGGTTTGGCTTCCAAAATCTCACTGGTGACCACTTCAAAACATCAAAACACTGTCGTAGCTTTATTTTTCGAAACTTTTGATTTCCAGCTTCAATTTGGGATCGTACTTTAGCTTGTCATACACCCAGACTGCACAGATACATCTTAAAGACGCCTCTAATATGTCCACAAACTACATTCAAGACGTTTGCTTTACGTCTTCGAGGTGTCTTAAAGACATCTTGTATGTTACAAAACCCTAAACGTTTTTCAGAGGTCCGCCTAAAGACGTCTTCAGGACTAATATTTTATTATTATTACTCATTTTATAATTTCCAATTTCCAACTTATAAAATGCTGCTGGAAAGTGTTTTGGAACGTTCCAAATGACATATTGGAAGTTCTGAAGTGTTTCAACTTGGCGGGAAGAGTTCTGGAACATTCTAGAAGTTTTTCAGTAATTTCTAAATTGTTCTAACAGATTTTTGAGTATTTCGAGCTCTATTGAAGCTCCAAAGTATTTTAAATTGAAGAATTCTAAAAGATTTCCAGTTCTAAATTTAATTCTAAATTCGCTTTTAAAAGGTGTAACTCTTACCCTGGATCCTAACATCAATGCCTAAGATTCTGGTGCTTTTTAAAATATTTCTAGATATTTTAGAATGTTTTAGAGCGTCATAAATTGGGTTTCAAACTTCTGAAGATGAGAAACGAACTCTTTGGGAAATTTTTGTAGACATCTCAAAGACGTCCCTATAATAAGATGTCTACAAACGACATTCAAGACGTTTTTTAGACGTCTGTTCACGTGTTCAAGGCATCTTATAGACGTCGTATTTTATAAAATCCAACGTCTGCCTGAAAACGTCTTTATGACATTATCCCAAGACATTCTAAAGAAGACATCTTCAACAAGATGTCTTAAAGACGACTTTGAATTTCTTTTTAATACATAAACCATTATTTGCTTCTAGGTTGTAAAGGATAGTGTTGCTCAGTTGTCTTTAAGATGTGAATTTACAACATCTTAATATTTTTTTTAAATCTTCAGACGTTCAGACGCAATCCAGACCTAAAAAAGACGTCCTTTAAGGCATTTGCGAATAGCTGAAACTAGATAGGCAATTTCAGAGTTCTTTGAACAATTTTCAAACATTTCAGATTGGAAAACATTTACTCATAATAACATCATGGATATATTTCACTCACAGTTCACCAATCAAATTTCAACAAATCCATTTTTTACCTGCCACTTCGTTTATAGCACGCACTGACCAATATTCAACTGCAGGTAAATTACTTATCAATTAATTAAAACCAAATAAAACTATTATTGAATTAAATTACAGGATTTTATGATGGAGAATCGAGGCTGGACCACTATTACGGACAAGGATTTAGTGAGCCTGATCCATTTCTAATCACTGACGATGTTCAGGCAAAGCAACTGGCCGCATATCTTTACAAAAAAGGTTTATTTTTCCAAGACATTCCACACACGAGAGGCCTAATTTACAATCAAAACGAACGAAGGAAAAATGGACTTAAGCCTAACAGATTAGGCTCTTTAAGGCCTTATTCACCATGGCTCAGATTATAACTACAAATATATGTAACTTATAAATAATAATATAAAAAGCAATAAAGAGTTTTGATTTAATCTTGTAGAGCCATTGCACAAATCCCCTTTGCAAAAACACATAAACACCCTTTTGTTGTTTCTTCTGGTGTAGGCGCACCTTTCTTCGCTATCAGATGGGCCTCTTTGGAAGCATATTCGCTCAGTAGCAACACCATATTCTATAAGATAACATTTAATTAACCAATTAGAATTTAATAAGTTAAAAATTATTGCCTTCTTTCAAGTCGCTTTCGTTTTCAACGATTTTGCCGCACCATCCTGAAGCGCAGGGTACCATTTCGAAGCCCAAATCCTTTTGGGCTTCCATTGGAGCTGATACGTTACCGATGAATGGGTCTTTGCAGCTGCCTAAGTCGCCTCTGGATCTGCAGCTGAAACATCTTTTAAGACCTAAAAATTGTTTGATTTTTATCACTGGTTTTTGACAGGTTGAGTCTGTTTTTGAGCGTCACAAAACTCGAACTTATGAGTAAGTTTCAAACTGCTGTAAAATGCATGGAAGTTTTTATCAGAGACCTTCAGTCCAAATTTTATATAGAGCTCATAACAATTCAAAGGACCCTGCCCAAAGTATACGGAGATTGTGTTTATGTCAGAATTGGCTGAATTTTTTATATAATCTAGATCACGCCTTCCTGATTAAAAGTTACCATTGCACCAATCCTGAGACATGATTCCTTTTCGAGAAAATTAATTTCATAGGTAGCAAGTGAAACGCTTAGATATTGTAATTAATGGTACATACAAATAAGTGGATTATTGCGGAACTTATGGGTGGACCTCTGCGGGACGAGCGCAGCGAGTTCCGCAGCCATCTACTCACTAATATACTATTAAACTGTTCAAATAAGACACTCACCTGAAACGTGTAGTTTTTGAACTAATGAGAAAAATTCACAACTGAGTGAATCAGGTTAGTATTATACTTGAACACCATATTGGTGAATAGATGGCTGGGTCCACCCATAAGTTCCGCAACAATCCATCCGTTTGTACTTGAATAACTTGTCACAATATATTACTAGTTTGGTAAAGGAACATTACTAATTCCTGTTAAAAGGCAAATTGACATAAAGTGGATAATCTTACAAATTCTGACTTTATATAATGTTATAGTTCAAGTACAAATAAGTGGATTGTTGCGGAACTTATGGGCGGACCTCTGCCATCTAATCACCAATGTACTGTTGACCTGTTCAAGTAAGACATTAACCTGGAACGTGTAATTTTTAAACTAATGAGAATAACGCACATTTGAGTGAGTCAGTTTAGTATCGTAATTAAGTAACATATTGACGAATAGATAGCTGCGGAACTCGCTGCGCTCGTCCCGCAGAGGTCCACCCATAAATTCCGCAACAATCTATTCGTTTGTACGCCAATTGACAAAAAGTGAATAATCATAATCTTACAAATTTTGACTTTACATAATAAGTTATTGTTCAAGTATAAGTAAGTGGATTATTGCGGAACTTATGGGTGGACCTCTGTGGGACGAGCGCAGCGAGTTCCGCAGCCATCTAATCACCAATATACTGTTGAACTATTCAAGTAAGACACTCACCTGGAACTTGTAGTTTTTGAACTAATGAGAATAACTGACATTTGAGTGAGTCAGGTTAGTATCGTAGTTGAACAACGTATTAATGAATAGATGGCTGCGGAACTCGCTGCGCTCGTCCCGCAGAGGTCCACCCATAAATTCCGCAACTCGTTTGTACTTGAATAACTTTTCACATTATGTTACTATTTTGGTATGTAACATAAATAATTCCTGTTGAAAGGCAAAATGACAAAAAGTGGATAATCTTATAAATTCTGACTTTAATAAGTTATTATTGTTCATGTACATACAATGTAACACAAATAAGTAAGCTTGTGGCGCAGTGGTGTGCTACGTATAGTAATTTTTCAGGATTGGTGCAATGCTACTTTTAATCAGAAAGCCGTAATCTACAGTACATACAAAATTCAGCAAATTCTGAATAAGCACAATTTCTGTATACTTTGGGCAGGATCCTTTTGATTGTTACATGTTTCTTGATTTCCTGAATTATTTTTCCAAGACCCAAATTTCAAATTCCTACCCAAAACATTCTAATTTATTGATTATTACTGGTTCTTGATTTGTTGAAGCGAAAAATCTACCAGTCCTGATCAACTTCCTTTTTGAATTATGAAAGGAGAAGATCAACATTAAACTAATATTTATATGATTTCGATTGGCACAGACTTCCGATGAGTTTATTGAATACCCACAAGGTTATTCTTAATAACGAAAAGATTAACATTTAAACCCATTTACCTTGTGAAAAATCTACAAAACAAACCAAAAATACACTTAAAACAAAGCCACGATAAATTTTAACATCCATTTTCAAGCAAAGAAGAAACTATGATTCAATTTTCAAGGCGACATACTGCTGGGTATTCTATTTAACTTTCACCTTCCTTCTATATTCTTCAATGCAACGTTGCTTTGAATTTGTGACTCACGAAAGCATAATTATTAATTGTCTTTGAATTTTAATAAAGTTATATTGTTTGTTGTTTGATTTTGAAGATAATGCATGTGTGATATCTGGAAGTTTTGTTGATTCAACTGCATATAATTCGATCAGAACTTTTGGATTTCTTCAAATTTTATATATTTTTAACTATTTCAGTGTTTTTATTTCGATTTTTTCATTGTCTTAGTTAACTTTGTGATTCTATATTCTCAATTATATCTTTAAATATCTAATGAATGTCTTGGTTATTTGCTATACATATTTACATTTATTTATCTATTGCTTATTATATAATTCTTTATGTTCCATTTGTACTATGGAGCTTATGTATTGTTGAAAAAAAGACAGAGAAAAAGAGCTTTCAAAAATTTAGGGAATAACGCAACTTTTGTACTTTTTACATAGGAAACAGACAACTTAAAACCGATTTAAAAAAAAGTAAATTTGACAACGGTGCAATACACACCGGAATACCTACTGTTTGGTGGATACCTATTAAAGACCTGCCCCACCAAGGTTGTTCTGTGTATTACTTCTTGTAAAGTTGGAGGAAACAATGATAAACTTTTCGTGCGTTTGTCTGGTTGCCTGCGCCCGGTAACCACCATCAACAGGTGAGTAGGTAACCCAAGGCAACCCTTTGGATTCAATACAAACTTAGGTAAAATAATATTTAGGTAATGATTTTTCTACTCGATACAATTTTGTTCTAATTAATAAAGCAAATAAATTATGAATTGGGATGAAGATATTGATCTTTTGGCAGGTAGAAAGGTGCGAAAAACACAGTTGTTGTATCCAAATTCTTTCATTGCATAAATTCAAATTCATTGTTGTAGTCTTTGCCGAAACAAGGCAGAAGATCGGATCCCGATACCCCCGACGAGCCGAATTCCAACAGTTTCTTTGGAGACGCCAACCCTTTCGATACAATGGAACACCCAGTAGAAGAAAAGCCCCTTATCAAACCTAGGAAAACGAGTGTTTGGGGCGAGGAAGGTGGCAAATCGGCCAAGTAATTAGTTGGCAAAATGAAGTTATTTTTTAACTGATAAATTTTTTTTTAGGTCCAGCAAAAGCAGTACTAACTTGATAGAATTGTAGGTTTTTGTAACATGAAAATTACCTAATGGAATAAATTGGATTACTTAATTATTTATTATAGGGAAAGATTCCAATCGGATCATAAGGAAACCAGTCCCAGGAATGATGAGGATGATATTCCAGTTATTCCAGATATTGATGATTTGCAAGATGATCCTTTGAATTTGCCTGATGTAAAACCCATGTGAGTATACCTACCAGTTGCATTTATATCATCTTATACTTGTGATCATATTATATCTAAAATCTGGATATCTTCTCCTTCTACAACATCTTGGTAATCTATATTATCATTTAGATTATTCCCTATTCCAGTTGTGTCGTTCTTAAATCCTTCATTCCTAGACAGCACACAAAGTCTTAAAGACGTCTGCATTACGTCTGAACATCTGAAGACCAAAAAAAGACGTTGTTTCCAAATTCACATGTTAAAGACAACTATTTGGTACAACCAGTCCCAAAAGTCAATAATGGTTTATGCATTGTATCTTTAAGACATCTTTGGTAAAGACATTTAGAATGTCTTAGTCCTGAAGACGTCTCTGAGCGGAGACGTCTGAAAGACGTTGGGTTTTATAACATACGACGTCTTCAAGACGTCTTGTGTTCAAGATGTCTACAAAAATTTCCCACGGAATTCTTTTGTTTCTCAAACAATTTAAAAGTTACTGAACCCCATTTAGATTGCTACAAAACACTTTAGAACTTTAATAAGCCCTTATTTGGAAAGTTCGAAACAACTAAAATTCAATTTAGAATTTCGAAATGCATTCTGTAACGCTTCAGAACAATTCAGAAACGTCAGAGCCATTTCAGAATGCTCCGAAATATTCAAAAACCGATTTACAATTTCCAAAAGCATTTTAGAACAATTCGGAAGTGTGAACCCCATTTTAGGACGCTCTGAAACACTCAAACACTCTAGAATTTTCAGAAACATTTTGAAAACCGCCAGAATCTTAGAATTCAGGTTAAAAGTTACAAAATGCCTTTCAGAAAGCTTTAAATTACTGTAGAGTTTCAAACCTTTAATAAATAGGGTATTATAGGAGCATTTTGGAACAATTTAGAATCAGAGTTATTTCAGAACAATTTATAAGATTCAATTTAGAGCTGGAAACCTTTTAGAACTCTTTTAAACCAATTTAGAACACCTTATGGAGTTTCAATAGGGTTCCACAATACTTAAAAATCTGTCAGAACAATTCAGAAATTAGGTAGGTACTGAAAAACTTCTAAAATGCTCCAGAACTTTTCAAGCCAAGTTAGAACAGTTTAGAACTTCAATATGGATCTATCATATAGATTTATCAGATTCACCAGGATCCCAATTTCAACAGAATTCCATAAAGTCCTACTGAAATCCCACAATATCCTTATGAAATCTCATGCATTTCTACTGGAATCCCATGGAATTCTATTGCGGAATCCAATGGAATTGCTTGTCAATTTATAGAATTATTTTGAACGCATAAGCAAGCAATAAAGACTCTGGATAGAAAAGTCTTGTTTTTCATTTTAGCCCTAACTAAACAGGTACAAACTAAAAACATTGACTCATCAAGCAAACTAAGTAATCCCATTGGAATTCCTCGAAAGCCCAAAGAATCCCATATTATGCTTATCCACTAATAATTCCAAAATGTTTTAGGTAGGTACTCTTCGGTGTCTCATGATGGAACAATCAATATATTCCATTCATTAACCATTTCTCATTTCAGGGTTTCAGTGGACAAATCAACTTACAAAGAACTGGACAATCAACTGGTAACTTCAGAAGGCGGCAAAATCAATTTCGGCAACTTGGGCAACATCGATTTGTCCATCCTGACCAACCGACTGTATCCAGAAAAAGAAGTACAACCCAAACCAGAAATATGGACAATGGACAGTTTGTTTAACGATTTATCTAGAAGTAGCAATTAAATTTAATTTAAACTATATAGTTTGTTTTTGTTTGACCCTCGTATTGAAATACACAAAAAGAAAGTGCCAGCAGAAGAATGGGTTGAATTAAGTCCGAACCGCCTTCAGAAACAAGATTTGATCCGTACTATGCAGTACTAAAACTGACAAGAACGATATTTTTTTAATTTGAAATGTGGTTTATAACGGGGTTTTATGTGATTTTAATAGTGATATTCACTAATAAAGGTAAGCTTACTGTGTCCATTTCATAGACACAGCACTTTCGATTTCTTCTATGTATTAACAGATCAGTCAGGTAATAATAGCTTTCTTTTGCTGATATAATTTTAGTACAGGAAGTTATGTGTTGCAGGAATTTATGATTGTTTAACCTTGCTCATTGCTGACCTAACATTAATTTTTTATTTCAATTTCATTGTAAATTTATAATAAAAAATCTTTATTTGTTGAGATCAAAACAAATGGGATTTTAAATAAAAACCTCTCATAAGAATAATCAATTTTTAGTATATTTCAATATTTCTGATTTATAATATTTTAATTATGATTATTTTTTATGTTCTAGCAAGCGAATAATTATTATTTAAAACGCTACTTAGTTAATGAGCGAGGTAAACCGCTTGTGCAACTGATTTAATGCGATTTTAAACGTGGTTGCTAAAGCCTTTCTAAGGTCGCTTTTAGTATTCAAAAAGAGATCGAGAAGCCTTTATAGGAACCTTTTGTGAATTTCTCAGAATTGAGTTGGAAGATTTTTATCAAAAATTATTGACTAAGAATAAGTTTGCTCAGTTTCAATAATCAATTCTTACTGATCTATGTTAAAAGGGTTAAAATCCTAAAAGAGAGAAAAATCAACTTTTTTTTTAATAACTTGAAGAAGTCACTTGCTTTGATTTTTCAAATTTGGTATTTAAAACTTATGATTATATATGAATTTGAGCCTAATAACGTTATGATCGGATTCAAATCAACAAAATTGTGAGGCAAAATATGTATTGATGTCATTTGGAGTCCAAAGGTTTTGAAACTTTGCAGCTGGGAAACCAATGAAGTTGCATTGAAATTATTAGTAGAGATTTGTAGAGAATTTGAATGGCCTTATTTGGAGCCTAATAACGAATTACAGATCAATGATCCCATATATCTGGGATACCCATTGCATTGCCTCAGAAGCGACAACCCGATATAGCAACCTTATTTCATTTAAATTCGATTACTAAGATATAAGCAATATTTTGTATATGAATTGTAGGCAATTAAATGTTAAAATTGTGAACCATATCGCGAAGGAAACTTATTTAAAGTTCTCTGACAAAGTTTAATGCCTTTGTGACTTTTAGTGATTTTAGTGTTAATATGCACCATTATTGCATCTATTTATTACCTACTGTAGGCATTTATGTTCAGTGTCGGACTGGGGGTCATTTGGCCCACCGGGCAAATAGTAAAGTGGCCCCACCCAACCCAAACCTCATTCAATAAAAACAATTCTGATAATCATTTTTTTCTACGATCGTGCGATTTTGCCCACTTTCCCGTATTCTCTTTAGTTCAGAAAGTATCACTGTGTAGGAAAGTTTTTTTCCCGCACTCAGTGCGGGAAAGTAACTTTTGAAAGAATAATTTGTATAACAAAATTCTGACAATTGACAGAAAATCTCCATCTTCAAGCAGTCATTCGCAAATGGTACCAGATTTGAGATCAGAGCAGAACCCTCGTGTCCGGACCGGTGACTTCACCTATATTCGACTTGGCAATGGCGTCGAACACTCATCCCAACAGTTAGAGATGGCAAATTCTCGAGAATTTATTTTGAGAGAATTTTCGGGAACATTGGAGAATTTTGGAGAATTTCAAAGAATATAGCTTCTTATTTGGGGCTTTTTGCATTTTTTTGGTACAAAAAATTTACATTGAAATTCATTGTCCTTATTTTGTCTGAAATATTTCCATATCAAACCTCTAGGTTACATTTTCGAAGGAATTTCCTCAAAACTTTCATTTCCAATTGGTATAGAAATCATTTGAGGTAGAATGATAAGGAGGCGACATGGGGAGAAAAAAAGCGTATCCACTTCCGCCATATTGTTACTACACTTCTGTCTGAGATTCTGTCACTTTTGTCATAACAACGTGTCAGAATTGTATCAGGGCCGCATTCTCCATACGAAGATTTTTTAAATGCGAATACTACCTCAATGGTAGAAATAGTGCAGAGAAAATGTGTTTGTGTTTCTATCTGTTTCTTTAATAACAGACAGAGAGAAAGAGCTGGAAATTCACTCAGTACTCAGTGACACCAGTACGCATTAAATCTAATCCAATCGAAAACGTCTATAGAATCAGGGGATTTACCGGATTTCACCCGAGCTCATTGTTTTCCGTTTTTCATTTCAATAGGCATGGGCGGTTATTGAAAAATAACCGGTTATCGGTTAACCGGTTTTATTTTCGTAACCTTAAACAATTAACCTTTAATAAATAACCGGTTATCACAATAACCGGTTATAATTTTCTCTCTCTCCATTACTATAGTATTTTTAATACCTATGTAGAAGTATCAGTCGTTCTAGAGTTCTAGTGACTAAACGTATGTCGCTTCTTGAACAGACAAATAAAATTAGGTTAGGAATTTCCTATTTGTACATGAATTTGACGTATCAGCAATCGACATTCGTTTTTGTTGGTAATTTTTTGTTTCATCTGATTTGTGATTGATAAATAAGGATGGGGTTATTCTAAATGGTTATTAAAAATACTATACTACTATCTCTTTCTATTTTACACAAATAAACAGAGGAAAAGAAAAATGCGCAAACTCGCAAACCAACTATGTCCATCGAGGACAAGGATGATACACACTACTATTACAGGATAGCCTATCCTCATAAGGCCTGTGTGGCAGGGATGTTCCAAACTGCACAATTGTGCATATTGATGCACACTTTCAATTTATATGCACAGTATGCACCCCAATCTTTAGATATGCACATTTTGATTTCTAGAATAAATCTGCCACAATTTTTCAGTCAATAAATAGAACACAAAAATTCTGGATTTGTGGTTTCATTTCAGTAAATTTGTACTGAGTGTAACTACACTATTCTATACATACTCCCGTACTCTATACATACTCCCTTTAGGGATGTAAGCCAATTTTTCTGACAATGTCATGTCACAGTCAAAATGAAAATGACGGTCACGTCATTTATTTTTATGACACTCTTGTCAATTATTCTTTTTATCGATTGAATTTTCTGACAGTCAAAATAATAACTGACCGTCATTAAAATATATGACTGTTAAAATATACCTATGGCCGTCATTAAAATATATGACTGTCATTAAAATATACCTATGGCCTCCATTGAAATATATGACTGTCACAGAAATATCAGCTGACTTTCGATTTTTACTGTCAATCTTATGGAGGAGATGGAAGCTGTACTTTCTAACTCATTAAATGACTGATGCTAATGACTGTCAAACTGTAGAAGAACTTTAGTCAACCAATCAGATATCTGATTATTGATTTAAATTTTGTCAATGAAATTATGTTATGTTCTACATTGACGGTAGATGACGATTGGCAATCGGCAGGCCTATTCTCTACGAACAGCAATTACATAGCAACCAGCAACCGGTCGCAAGTTGCTTTTTTTTGTATAGAAAACTCGCGTTTGACAGCGACTTGACAGCGACAATTGCGCAATTCTCTGCGCTCGCAAGTTACAGAATAAGGCTGCGGAACTGGCAACGTTGTAAGAATAAACATACATATTGACAACCGGCAACAATGAAAAGCAAAACAAGGGGGATGCACATTTTTTGTCAGATATGCCCACTTTTTGTACTGTCAAGTGCACATGCATGGAAAATTAAATTGATTATTGTTTATTGTAAACTGTGGGAAATCGAAAAAAAAAATCGTTTCTTTTTTTTTATTTCGCCCAAATAGGATTATTCCGAAAGTTATTCAAATATTAAGTTTTGTATATATATACTGAGCGTGTGCAACGTCACTAATTTATTAGATAAGTGACGTCATAGGCAGATTTCATAGTGTTGTATCTCCGTCAATTTTTGACTAAGAAGAAAAAGAAAAAACACGTGTTGACTTATTTTTCATGGACTATCGAAATCAGCAATAAAAAAATTTGACGCAAGGAGCCTATTCCCCCCCGCCCCAATTCGCCAGTTGTGACGTAAGCAGCATGTTATTTCTCGCATTGACGTAGGTTGTCTAAACAGCTGACGACTTAGTTATGACGTCGGAAATGGCGACACACCAATATGGCGACGATTACCAGAAACGAGGCCGATAATCAATCTTGTAGATGTGTATCATCCTTGCATTGAAAAGGGCAGTTTTTATTTCTTTTCTCTTTATATTTTGCAAAAATAACCATGGAAAATTCAAGTTTCCATATCGTTGTATTTTGGTTTTTTTGTCGTGGTCGCGCCATCTCTTATCATAAATATGAAGGTCGAATAAAAGATGCAATCCATTGAGAATTTTTTGGGAGTTCCTGCGTTCGAAATTGTTTGAAATCATGCTATAAGTGGGGACAAATAAGTCAATAGTTTTTAAAAAAATATATCAACCGAATAACCAAATGTCGGTTATTGGTAAGTGAATCCGGTTATTAGGTTAAACCACTGATCTCAAAAATATATGGATAAACAAAGAACGCTTCTAATGCTGCTAATTTACGAGGTCAAAATCTAAACAAAAACAACTGACTGGGACAGCTGTGAGCGTGCGCAGTAGATACATGTATTGTGTGTGCACAAAATCTGGCCAATGAAAATGAAGGAATTTCAAAATTTAGAACAGTTGTTCGAAAGATAAGACACTGCGCAGGCGTTAGGCTGTTCCGTTGCACAACTGTTCGTAGAATATTGACCCCAAATCAGTGTTGCCAATCTGAATTTGTAAAATTACACGATATGCTGGTCAAATTACACGTTTTTACACGCTGTCAGTCTCACTATTACACGATTTTTACACACGACGTTGGTAGCCTTGTGTATAACTTCAAGAAGCAAGTATACTTTTTTTTTCTGATTTATGATTTTGGGAAATGGGTAAAATTCAGTCGAATCTGAGGCTTATGGCTGTTCCACCAACTATTTTGGGAAGCCCTAACGATAAGTATTCCCTAAAATGATATTTTTACATGGAGAAATGACAATTTAAGGCATACCTATCGTTAGGGCTCGAGGGCTCCCCTAAAATAGTTGGTGGAAGTGGCCATTAATGCTCCTGATCATCGCTCAAATTCAAAATAAATTCTTGAACCTTAAAATCTTATTAAAATCACCTTTTCTACATTTAAAATCGACGAAAAAACAAGCACAACCTGAATCGCAAGTATACCATCGAGGCCTGCGGGTGACGTCACCACTATATAGGCTGCTATGCTGCTAATACTGGTGACGTCACTCGCAGGCCCTGCCGATTTGCGAACGTACGCCTCATAAGGATAAGCAATCCTATTAGTACGATTCCTAGGGGTGGGGGCCGTGGCTTTGAATTGGACAGCCGTGAAACAGAACAAAAATAAGAGAATGTCAAATTTTTCAAATTACACACAAAATACACGCTTTTTGTTTATGTTCGAAAAATTCACGCAAGCCAATCAAAATACACACAAATCGTGTAATTACACGCTAATTGGTAACACTGCCCCAAATTTTCGCACAAATTTTGCCAATCAAGCCGTATGAATTGTTGATCTAAAAAATAAATGGATAAACAATCATACGGCTTGATTGGCAAAATTTGTGCGAACCTAACGCCTGCGCATTGTCTTATCTTTGGAACAACTGTTCTAAATTTTCAAATTCCTTCATTTTCATTGGCCAGATTTTGTGCACGCACAGTACATGTATCTACTGCGCACGCTTACCGCTGTCCCAGTCAGTTGTTTTTGTTTAGATTATGACCTCGTAAATTAGCAGCATTAGAAGCGTTCTTTGCTTATCCATTTATTTTTGAGATCAGTGGTTAAACCTGATGAAAATAATAACCGAAAATAATCGGTTTTTAAACATTAGGTTAACCGGTTATTGGAATAACCGGTTAATTTATTCCATGCCTACATTCCAACCTAACCTCACTACGAAGCTAGCGCCATCTGTTAATAGTATGTGCAAGGTGATACATTTAAAAATTACAGGTAACTTTCCATAAATTCTTGAAAAGTACCATACTCTATGGTACCATATATTCTCATCTGATTCTCATAAATTCTTGAACTTAAAAAAATTATAAATTCTCGAGAATTTAAGGACAGAGAATATTCTTGGTAAATTCTCTGTTCTCAATAGAAGTTTTTTGGAGAATATTCTCAGGGCCATCTCTACCAACAGTAGGAATATTACCAGTTTGTTGAAATGCTTGTCAACGGGCAGTCGCTTGCGGGAAAGTATAACTTTCTGCACTTGTTAGGATAATAACTATGTTGAATCTGGTACCTAATTGTATAATAGGCATTAAAAAAAATAGGAACCTAAACTGTATTTTTTCCCAAGATAGATTTTGACATTGTCAACTTTGAAATATAAACAATACCGCTTGGCCCTTATTGGTCGCAAAATGCCGTGTTCTTGCAAGTGAGGTACCCTTTTACAGTGGAGTGTAGGTACACGACATCTTGAGACCTATTAGCGACATTGTTTATGTTTCAAAGTTGTTATTGTCAAACTCTATCTTGGGAAAAAATAGACCATAGGTACTTAAGGTTTACTCCACCTACCTTTCTGCTGTTGTGATTTTTACCGATGTAGTATGTAGTTTGTAGTTGTATACCTACATAATTTACCATAAAAATTAAGAGTAGGTAACATAAAAAAAAAAAACAACAGGATATGTGTTATCTCAGGATTGGGGCTAGAGGCTAAATGTTTTTCGGATTGTTCTACAGCATATTCTTTTCTACACCAAGTCGAAGATGATCTGGGCAATCCGAGCTGAATCCCTTTTTGATTTTCTGGTATTGAAGGTAGGGCAGATTGCTGGCTACTGCTTGATGCTGCTTTGAGCAGTGGGTCATTTCTTGCAATCGAGGATAGTTCTTCCGTTTTTAGAATTTCTGTAGAAGTAGAACATGCAGAACCATCTTCGAAACTTCCCTCGGTTGACGGATTTGTATTTGTTTTAATATTAATATTTAAAAAAAATGAAGTCAGTTGTTGGATGGATGCTGCACCTTTAAATAATTGTCGTTTTCTCGTTTTTCTATACCCGTTTTATATAACTTCCTCTTTTTTACCTTTTCGTTCTCGGACATTTAGAAAATGATATTATTGTTTTGAAAGAGATAATGTGTGAAGATATTGAATTTTTTTATATATTCAAATGGCCCACCTCTCGAAGACGTCACCTGGCCCACCGGAATTTTGCCCGGTTGCCCGGTGGGCCAGTCCGACACTGTTTATGTTTACTGACGATTTACTGAAACAACTCCAAGTTATTCTTATTCTTACTGACTCGAACAACTTACCTGTAAATACTCTCCCCGAAGAAAAATGCCTGCCAATTCTCATGAAGAAACTAGCGATAATTCCAGAATATAACGGGAATCCCAATGAACTTTTCGAGTTTACTAACGCCGCGACGTTGCTAGTAAAGTATTACTGGAACAACACTGATGTAGGATGCTTTCAGAACCACATATGCTTATCCAAGGCATCAAAAGCAAACTTCCTGGTCGAGCAAAAGAAACTGTTTCGATCTATGGATGCCTTGAATGGGAAGCCATTAAAGAAGTTCAGATATAATTCCCTTACAAGAGAGCTAGTTAACTTACGTCAGATGCCAAACGAATCTCCTCAACAATTCTACGAAAAAGTTATGGGACTTCTAAATACTATTTCGAATTACATAGAACTGCACCATGATAATAATCCAGAAATCAAAACAAGTAGGAAACTTTTTCTCTATCAACATAGGCGCTTTCTTACAATTACAACTATTAGGAACTATGCGGCCCAGCGACCTAGCTGCAGCAATGCAATTTATCCAGGAGAAAAACGATATCAGATATCTCCAACAAAAAGGTTTCTCGTCAACAAGTAACTCTCACTTCTGGATAACACCGTTGTATATTTTAGGCACGATTCTGGTAATAGTTGTTTGTTACAAACTCAAATAAAGATTGAACCTGGGAAGGAAAAGGATTTTAAACAAGAACCTTATTATAGGAGGACACTAATGGAAGAAACAAGTCCAGAAGAAAAGGAACCAACAACTGCCCTCAGGAAGGGAGAAATTACGCCATATAACCGGAATATCACCGAATATCATTAGAACCACGGCTCAGCAGCGACAACCCGATATAGCTACCTAATTTCGATTAAATTCGATAGTGGTTTGAAAATACGTTACCGTACAATATGATGCAACTAAGCTCAAATTTAAAACATCAATTCGTATATTTGTTCCTTGACAAAACCTATTAATAATGTATGAACACAAAGCCGAAAGCGGTTAGTTTCTTTTATTCAAATTGTCCACTCAATTTGGTAAAACAATAATTAAAAAAAAAAGACAACAAATATGAACGAAAGTACAAACATATAGTGCGATGGTACTGGCGGGTAATCATCATATTCCCCATATCATCACGTTCGCTTTCTATTTTAGCCTCGTTCAGTACCATAAATGCTGCTCTATTTGTTCTTTACAGTTTTTAAAAACCTATCAAATGCTCTACCAATTGTTCAATTCACATAATATCGATTTGTTACAACAAGGATTAGAAATCAATAAGAAAAACCTCTTCCTTATTTAAAGTCGTTTAAGGTGATATTTTATTATTATTATTTGTAGAAATCGCCAATCCATTAACGGCGGTTTTGTTGTTTCAGAAGACAAATCGTTTAAATACCAGGGACATTTTAAAAATAATGCACTCAATTGGCCGAAAAAAAAATCGTATTTTTATCTATAGGTTCTTTACAGTTGACGGTCAGAAAAAGGACCAAGAGGATTTCGAGTGCCCCTCGGCCACAGGAACCGGAAATTTCGCAGATCCAGTCACTTGTAGACGATTTTATCAGGTAAAATTTTCAACAACTAATAATGAGCAGTTGTTAATTATTGTATTTTATATAGTGTGTAGATGGTCATCCCTACGTGAATAGATGCCCGTCGGGATTATTTTTCGACGACATTAGCAAATATTGCACTTTCCCGAACGAGGCACGATGCGGACCCATTGCAAGTAGTAAGTTAATATAATGATGTATGTATTTTAAATACATTTTTTAAATTTTGGTTTTAATTATTAGCTCCAGCTCCCATCACCGAACGACCCACCGATTTGGCGGAAAAGTGCAATCCGGCCGAATGTCAACTACCTTATTGTTTCTGTTCGAAAGATGGTACTGTTATACCTGGAAATTTAGAGCCAGAAAATGTAAGTGAATTAATTGTTCACCAATTTTAATGAAGGAACAATGAAAATGTGGTGAACAAGTTCTCATTAATTGCTCCCCTTCTGGAATCTTTTTCCTTCTTCCCCCTTAACATCTCTCTTGCTTTTGATATGATTTTTCCTCCAAAACCCACTACATTGACAAGATGTTAAAATTACTTTCGATTTACTTGAAATTTGCACTATAGATTAATAAAGTAAAAGATTTTTCCAGACTCCACAAATGATTCTCCTAACATTCGACGGTGCCATCAACTTACAAAACTACGACCACTACAGAAAAGTGCTGAAACCAAAAAGAAAGAACCCCAACGGGTGCCCAATAAAGGGCACGTTTTACGTATCCCACGAGTACAGCAATTATCAAATGATCCAACAGTTGGCAAGCGAAGGGCACGAAATGGGAACTGAAACCATATCGTAAGTATTATATCATTATCAACTAAATAAAAACTAAAAATGTTTTGTAGGCTTCAAACAGGTCTACAAGACAAAGGCTACGAAGAGTGGGTGGGCGAAATGATCGGCATGAGAGAAATCCTGAGACATTTCGCCAACGTATCCAAAAGCGAAGTCGTCGGTATGCGAGCGCCCTTTTTAAAGCCAGGAAGAAATACCCAATACAAAGTTCTAGAGGAATTCGGTTACATTTACGATAGCTCAGTTGGTGTGCCTGCTTTACCAATACCTGTTTGGCCTTACACTTTGGACTATAAAATTCCTCACGAGTGCAAATCTGGAACTTGCCCTACAAAATCTTTCCCAGGTAAATAATATAGAAATTACAAACTTCTTAATATTATATTATTTTAAGGTGTCTGGGAAGTACCACTGAATGCCCATTACATAGAAGGATTCGAAGGCGGCCACTGTCCGTACTTGGACCAATGCGTATTGCACAATCACGATCCCGACGAAGTATTCGAGTGGTTACAAGAAGACTTTTTGAAGTACTACGACCAAAATAGGGCCCCTTACATGATGGCTTTCCACACGAATTGGTTCTCAATCAAAGAACTAGAAAAGGGATTGGACAAGTTTTTGGACTGGGCACTTACCCTGTATGTTTTTTAGTTTTTAACAATTTCAATACTTATTATATACAATCCATCTTTAGTCCAGACGTTTGGTTTGTAACGACTACCCAAGCCTTAACGTGGATGACCGATCCTAAAAGTGCCAAGCTGTTGAATAACAATTATGAGCCTTGGAGCTGTTCCAAAAGGGAAACTTTACCGCCAACACCGTGTAAAGTTGCCAGCAAGTGCGCTTTGGCCTTTAAAAAGGAAAATTTCACGGACACGAGGTATTTGGAGACTTGTCAGGATTGTCCCAATCAGTATCCGTGGTTGGGAGACGCTACTGGATCAGGGATACCCAACAAAGATAATTACGTTCCTGATAATGTGTGAATGTTTTAGTAGGTTTTAGGTAATTGCCAAAAAAAAAAATTGAATTTGTTAATTTATGAAATGTGTTGTGTGCATAATTATTGCGCAGTTTATAATTAATAAATTATTGTTTTACCTAATTTTTTTAGTTTGAATTAACATACAGGATGAGCCTGAGATCAATTATTCACGGTTTGTTCGGTTTGATAAAAAGACTCTATATAGGTACTCAAGTTTGAAATCCCTCTGATTGCTTGAAGTATTCTTCAGAAGCTTCAAAAGTGATTTAATACTGCATCTAAGTGAGAAAAAAAATCATAATTCCATTTCTGAGCCTGAGACCCATTCGCGGTTTGTGCCGTTTGGTAAAAAGACCCTACTCAGTAAATCCTGGAAGTTTGAAGTCCTTCTGATTGCTTGAAGTATTTCTCAGAAGCTTCCAAAGATGATTTATTAATTATTTATGATTTTTTCATAATTTTATTCCTGTGTCTGAAATCCAGTGCCGGATTTAGGGGGGTTCTGGAGGTCCGTGAAGTTGGCCCCTAAAGTGTTAAATTTTATTTGGAAAAATATGTTGTTTGTTAGTGCTTCGTTAGTGCTTTTTAGTGCTTCAATTGTTTTCGTTAGTGCTTTTTTCGTTTCAAGGTTTTGTAGTTTCAAGGTCAGCCCTGACATTCTGTCAAAATGAACGAAACTTGTTACTATGTTTTAGTGCTTCGTTAGTGCTTCTTAGTGCTTCAAATAGTTTCGAAAGTGCTTTTCTTATTTCTTAGATATCTTAGATTTTCACTTCAAAGTCAGCCCACAAAAATTTTCCGAATTACCCAATTTTGGTGTCAGTTTTTAGTGCTTCGTTAGTGCTTCTCAGTGCTTCAAACAGTTGCATTCGAGAATATTTCCTTTTTGTGATATTTAACTTTAAATTTTCAAGGTCAGCCCTCAAATTATATGGGATTGAGTTAAATCTAGAGTCGTTTTTTTGCGCATCGTTAGTGCTTTTTAGTGCTTTATATAGCTTTCTTAATGCTCTTTCCGTATTTTGATTATTTAGTATTTTTTATTTTAAAATTAGCACCCAAACTTATTCCAAATGTACAAAAAACACAGGAACGCCACTGAAGCCAACATCGGTTCATAGCAAGGATGATACACCAAATCACCAGTTGTGACGTAGCATGTCCTTTCTCGGCTTTGCCTATTATATTGATCAATATTAAACAATATTTTTTTATCATAAATTTGAATTATTCTAAGCTACGACCTCCAGTGCGTGAGTTTTCGGCGTAAATTGCCATAATTAAGTAACTCCATTGCTCTTTCGGAGCTCCCCTATTTATGTTGTCTGAAGTCAAAAGCTGTGCCAGAATATAACCCAGGGCTGGGATCACGACAAGTAGAATTCTACTAGAATTCTACTTTCATGACGTCAGGTTGCCTAGCAACTATCATCATCGCCTGTACTGTACGCGAAAAAATAGGTCGCGAATGACGTCATGAAAGTAGAATTCTACTCGTCGTGATCCCAGCCCAGGGGCCTTATTCTGTAAAGAACGAACCGTTCGATTCGGTAGAATTTCTTCGATTGTGACGTCATTTTCGGCATTTTCGCAATAGCTTCCACGCTAGCAAACCGAAAATGACGTCACAATCGAAGAAATTCTACCGAATCGAACGGGTTGTTCTTTACAGAATAAGGCCCCAGGAGTCGTATTATATATCGAATATGACACAGGTATCAAATTTACTGATACTGACTTACTGATAGTTAAAAATATGCCATTTTCCAACTTGTAAAGTGCGGTTCCTCGTTGGGCGCTATTTAATGACAGAGCCATTCTGTTTAAAACAAAGGCGAGTTACCCCGGAGTGAGATGCTCCGGTGCTAAAAAAGCGCTAGTCAAAACTGCGTCTGAACGAACGAAATAGCGCCAGCTAAAACAGTGACCAATTAAAATAGACCTTTCCAAAACAACTAAATAACCATAAAAGAGAGAGATAGAGAGCGCACCGGCACCTTAGATTTCCTCCATACTATAAACCAATGTTGGCTCCAGTGGCGTCCGAGGTGGCGCCCTGTGTTTTTTGTACATTTTGGAACAAGTTTGGGTGGTAATTTTAAAATAAAATCAGAATACGGAAAGAGCATTAAGAAAACTACCTGAAGCACTGAAAAGCACTTACGATGCGCAAAAAAACGACTCTAGATTTAACTCAATCCCATATAATTATAATATAATATATATATATAAATATAAAAAGGGATGACCTTGATAATTTAAAGTTAAATATCTCAAAAAGAAATATTCTCGAATGCAACTGTTTGAAGCACTAAGAAGCACTAACGAAGCACTAAAAACTGACACCAAAATTGGGTAATTCGGAAAATTTTTGGGGGCTGACCTTGAAGTGAAAATCTAAAATATCTAAGAAATAAGAAAAGCACTTTTGAAACTATTTGAAGCACTAAGAAGCACTAACGAAGCACTAAAACATAGTATTAAATTTCGTTCATTTTGACAGATTGTCAGGGCTGACCTTGAAACTACAAAAAAATCGATATACAGAAAACGAAAAAAGCACTAACGAAAATAATTGAAGCACTAAGAAGCACTAACAAACAACATATTTTTCCAAAAAAAAAATTAACACTTTAGGGGCCAACTTCACGGACCTTGGTTCTGGGGGTTCCAAAAGACCCGGCGGCGACGGTAGAATTTTAAGCGGCGGTAGAAGGCGGCGAAGCCGCCTTTTCTCTTCCATAATATTTATTTAAAAAAACTCCAACAATCCTGTTATAAGATCTGTTCCAACCCGCCAAAAAACCGTCCAAGGTCCAAGAACGGTTTCGGAACCACGTTTACCAATTTCGAATTCTTTGCACAAATTTTACGTTTTGCGCAGAATCCTGACGGTGAAATGTACAGTTTCCTGCTGGGTTGAAGCAAAGCTATTAATTTTAAATTAACTAATAAACAGAATTTTGCAGTCCAGTCGCGGCAAAGTATAAATTGTAATTTCCTGATAGGAATTGCGGTTTTGTTTCAAAATTAAACCGTTACGGACCGGTTTTTCAATAGTGAGTCACCTTCGGGTTGGTCTTAACTCTAGGGTAAAGCGTGTCCAGTTGCTATATCTTTACCCCGGAGTTATGCTGCAAGGGTTGCCATTCTTTTTTCCAGAAAATAACAGACGGACAGCGCAGGTCAACAAAATATTTGACACAAAAAAGAAGCTTTTGACGTCATATGTTATTTTGGATAGTGACGGTGTGGAGGCGGGATAATTTCCAGGTCATAAGTAAAGCAAACTTTATTTTCATCAAAACAATAGGTCTCTCCAACACGTCAAAAACCGTACCATGAACGGTTTGGAAACAACTCTGTCCGGCCGTTCTAACTCATAGATGACGCCATACGAAATATTATTTAGGATAGTAGGCCTTTCCGGAAACGCTGATCCGATTAACCCGATCACTAGCTGTTTGTTTTCCATCTTTTTCCAATAAACACGATTGAAAAAAGACAAAGTACATAAGCTGGTGATCGGGTTAATTGGATCAGCGTTTCGGAAAAGGTATTCAATATAAGCTCCTGCTCTAACAGACATATGAGAACAGTTCTAGAACTATGATTTCCTTACTGGTTCTGGAACGGTTGGAACAGAGCTACTTACTAATAGGTCTGCTTCTGCAGAAATCACAAATCAGTCAGAGCGAATTTCATTGGTTGAAAACAGTCAGAAAACTAGTTTCAACCAATGAAATTCACTCTGGTTTGTTATTTCTGCAGAAACAGACCTAATATTTTTTCAAGTGGATAATAAAAATACCGAACAATGGACTAAAATGGACCGGACAAATGGACGGTTCCAAAATAACGGACTGTCCGTTACAAAAACGGACGTATGGCAACCTTCAAGCTTAACCCAGGGCCCCCGGTGGTGACTTGATATTGAGAAACCGGCCCTACATGGAATTCTTTTGCCAAGTTAAAGGCAAGAAAAATAGTAGGTAATTGTACATGTATAATAAATGGTAAATTTGATAAGATTTGTTCAACAAAATAGTACCCACATGCTATCTTCAAAAATAGTATATTGTGGATTCAGATGGAAAAGTGACAGATTCTCTGCCGATGGTGTAAGTTGACAGCAAACGCCGAAAGCCGAGAATGTGCTTTTCCTCCGGAATACATATACTATTTTATTGCGATTGATCAGTGATGAAAAAAATGAGAAATCTTTTGAAATAATGAGATGAGGATATTTGGTATTCTCATATTTTTAGTTTGATTTATGTTTATTATTTAATTTTAAATATACGTTACAAAAATACTTCAAAAATGAATTTTGTATTGTTCCTAAAAACGAGCTGTATGGGACACCCGGTTGGACACGTTCCGACTGTAGCAAAACGCCCCAAGTACTCTATGTAATTGGTTAGATGGTAAATGGCGATCGGTATATTGATGGTGTTTATTTCCTTGGAGCTGCTACCTATAAAATTGTGGAAGGGTCTGTTTGTAAAAAAGAGAAACAAACTATAAAGGTTTACTAAATTATATTTTATTATACATAAAACCAAAAATTTAAATCAGCAAAATATCTTCCAATTCTGACAGCCTCATCTATTTTTCTAAATTCAATTACTACACATCCGTTCAAAATGTCATTATTACGGACCACTAAAATATCCATACAAATAAAGAAACCCCCTATTCCTACTATTCCTAAATCCTAATAACTTATAAGTTTATTCATTTCAACACTTCCGATTCATTCCTATCAAACTACTTAACCTATTCCTATTCCTTTACTGACTGCTTATAAAAAAACCCAAAATAATTACCTATTTGTTTATTAATATAGGTATTACTAACTTGTTCTTATTAAACCTTACAATAATTTCTATATGAAATTTAAAACTCTTAATTCAAAATTCATTTCATGAACAATAAGTTTCCTTTAACAACTTTCCAATATTTTAAGACAACAATTCTATATCATGAACATCAAGTTTCTTTTCAAAATTTCCTATTCCATTTAGGCCTGGTACTTTCACCTCAGTAGTAATATAATTTATTCGGCGAATAACTATCTATCGGATAAGTAAACCAGAGGTTGCTATCTGTAGTATATCTCCGAGGGGTATTTTCAAGTAAAATTATCCTCGGGTTAACAATCCGTTGCTGGTAACTTCGGTATTTCGGCAATGCTAGTGTTACCAACCAAAGAAAACGAAAAGTGAGAAACACTTATGGGAAGTTGAATGCTTCAGATAAAGATAAAATATATCTCTTGTCTAGTTGCTTATTTTTGTTGCACCGCCACACATTGAACTAAACAAACACTCTGGAATGGGCGCACTGCTTTAAGCTAGTGTGTCGAATTTTGATATATGCAACCCAGCAATACAGAGGGATTGTTGTCTCGCTCGCACTCATTGCGATTAACGTAAAAGAAAGAAGAGCTTCTTCATTTTCCTTACCTCAATGATACAAACACTTCAAACAGCTGTTCTCAATAGCCGCCATAGTGCAGAGAGAGATGCAAATCCCTCTTGTTAGTTGTCCTTCCTGGCACAAACCCTCGCGTATAAACAATTATGCAGCCGCCTCTCCAGTGTGTTTGTTTAGTTCATTGCCGCCACATTCCATTTGTCATTTGACTGATTTGTGGTGGATTTGAGTTTGACATTCATTTGTTTATTAGAGAGAAGGTGCGTTTTTGTTAAATAATTTTTGTCTCGTGTAGTGGAAGTGGCTGATTAAAGTATATCGAAATCGCCCAAAATATCCATATTGACCATATTCTAACAAAAAATAAAACTTTTGAGAAATGTGTTGAGTTTTTTCCCTTCGCTATTCCATCCCCAGCCATGTTTCGAAGGTTATCATCAGCAAGCGGCTTCCAAAAGCAAATATTGAAATTTGAAATACTTAAGTACAGAAATGAAATTATAAATAACAAAAAAAAAACACCTACAGTCGTGAGCATTAAAAATTGGGCACCCGGTTTTTTCTATTGTTAAACGGGCTCACCAGCTACACCGTCGGCTATGACAGGGATATTTGATAAAAAATCCGTTGAACAGAAAAGACTAATTTACCGAAAATAGCGAAAAATTACAAGACCTGTCAATCGGGTGTCCCACTTTCAATGCTAACGACTGTACCTATTTTACGAATTTTTCAAACAAACACAAATCTTAGAAAATTAAGTTAGAATTATGTGTTGTCACCTAAATCAGCGTAAAACATACTGCGCTAGGAGCTATTTGGCAGATAAAACCGCTTATATTCTTAGGTCTGACCACAGGATACGTTAACTAAAGGTTAGCCCGCATTTATCTGATAGATATCACTTTGCGGAAGTGAAAATACACTCCCTTGGATATTCTCTAATCGCGCCTTTTAATAGTTTATTTAATCAGAACAAATTCTATTTTCGGATTCCTAGCCTAGCTAATAAACCCAACTGTTTAATTCATAATTCCTACTCAAAATTGTATATTGTTAAGTGCATTATAAATTCCCTTCATATTTTCTTTGCACAATTAAATTAGAAATGTCATTATATCTGAAGGCGATTAAAGTTAGGCAATAATGTTCCATAGTCAAAACACTCGAGTTATTAATATTTATGCAATAAAGTTCCAAAGTTAATTATAAAGTTAAAAAGTTTTTCTAATAAAAATCACTCAAGCTTTTAGGCATTAAAAGTCATTGTTAATTCACTTCTTATCATTCAGAATCATTGATAAAAGTTGTTACAAATAAACTGCGAGATTTGTATACTTTAAGATAAAGATAACCCAGGGTCGTGAATTCAAAGAAAAATTAAATAAGATAACGTGTAGTCCCTTTATGTGCAAATGAAACCACTCAAAAATCCAACAAACAATAATTTTATTTTGTGTACATACAATGTTATGTAAAATATGTAAAATGTCACTGCTAACAGCTTGATTTTTCTTGGTGAATCTGATACCTAGTATGTACCTTTCCAATCCGGAGCTCTTCAATGGGTGTTGGGGTTTCACTTTCGTGAACTGGAGCTCTTGGTGTTGTTTCCTGTTTCCAGGAAGAGGGTAGATTGCTGGGGTGACGTCACTCCAGCTGATCCAGACTCCAAACAGTGATCTTTATGCAGAGTAGGTACCCAGAAAAGAATAAGGCGGTATCAGGTTCACCAATATTTGGAACATTAAAATCCTGAATTCTGTCAAAAAGTGAGTGTTTTGGAAAAGAAATTGAATTTGAAATTTGGTATAAAATGATTGTTGTACAGACACTCCCCTTCAACAGAATCAGGTATGAAAAACTATTGCAAGTTAAAAAATTAATATTTTAATATAAAAAAAAAACAATTAAATAATTCAAATCAATGGTAAAATAATAGAAAAAAAAAATAAGGTAATAACAAGAATAAATTAGAATTCTCGTTACAATCGAGCAAAATGATGCTGCCTTGAAAAACAGCTCTGGCAGGCAAAAATACAAGAGAAAATATGAGCAAAAATAAGGTAAGTAAAAAAATTAAGATATCAAATGTCTGGATTCCTCCCCAAATAGACAAAATTCCTACCTCGAATTAAGTTAGTTACCACAGATACTAGATAAACCTCGAGATAAACCTAGGGTTGAAATTAATCAAATCCAGAATGTGTCAAAATTCTTGAGATGTTTTAATTAAAACGTTTAAACTGAATTTTTGACCTGTCTGGATTTCTATTAAAAAATTACACCCTTTAGTTAAGATAATAATTTAAGGAGTCAAGCAGAAAATGGCTGTTCAGGCCTCTGTCTGGATTCAATAAAGGATTAATGGGGATGGACTCACAAATTTGGTTTTCACCGACTCTATTTAGAACATATGGTCCAGTTTTCCCACACTAAAAATTGATTCTGAAAGCCAGAGCAGCAGTACCTATTTAAAACCAAACTGTCTTGTCTTGACTTACCAATTACAACAAAACGTGGCACTAACCAATAAACAAAGTAATTCACACAAAATGGAAGCCAACAATTAGATAAAAAAAAATTATAATATAATATTTATATTTCAAAAAACAGATAAGATAAGGTTTAATAATATGAATATTGAATATTGAAAAATCTATAGGGCAGGATCCAAAAATTCAAAGCACAAAAATTATTTAAAAAAAAATAGAGGACTTGCCTGGCCAGAGTGTTCTTCAAAAAGAGATCGTTTTAGAGAACCAAGCTAGCAGGAAAACGAACCTGTGTTTTTTTATACTTACTGCATGCCAGCCAGTTTGAACCAATCAAACGAGTACACTCCCGAAGACCATATTCACTTCAAAATGAAAACACAATGAAAAGACCGCATGGAATAAATGAAAATAGATAAAAATCCACTAAGGGCCGATACTTTTGCTCTCGATTAACAGATTTGATACGTTGTCAAAGTTTTGCATGGGCCAAGGTCTATATAAGTATGATGTGGTTAGAGCACATTCAAACCCCTGATTATTTTTAACGGCTGTTAAATGAGAGCAAAAGTACCGGCACTAAAACTATTTTAATTGTTTACAAATTATAATAATCTAAATTAAGGTTATGTCAAAGATAAAAGACTGTTAATTAATTGGATCATTAAGCCAAAAATGAATATTTAAAAAATAAGAAGGTAAAAAAGGACAGAAATATATCCATTTGCTAAAAGTGAGATGAATATAATTTCTTTCAATTAAATACAAATAACTGCCAAATGCGAAATAAGAAATCATACTTTGAAATATAGATCGATCATCGGGCACTAGATGGTAGTACTAAAAAATCTATTCTTGATACTTGCACTTTACGCAAATGTAGACAGATGGCAGCACTTGTATTACTTGAATTTAAATTTGAATTTAATGGATATTTTTAGAATATTGGAAATTATTTTGAATTCTGAAATGAAAAAAATACAACTTTATAATGAAAATAAGAAGAGATGGAACATGTTACGTAAATGATAAATTTATCGTAACAAAGTCAGAAAATTAATAACCACTAAAGTACTTACATTTAAATTTTCACACGTAAAATTACTTATTTAATAACTCAAATTTTTTAGCTAGCACGCACATAAATTGAACGAATTTCAAATGTTATTTCTGATTCACAATTTTCCGTACTTTTTCTAAGTTAAATCGAACGCGTTTTCCCCGAGGCCTTAATAAGAAATTTTCGCGAATTTCAACCCTTCTGACCCATTAGGTACTGTAGACTTTAACTCAAAATATCTTTGTCCATGACAATTTCCTTGAAATTTTTATCATTTTTAGTTTAAAATCGAATAATTATGTCGCAATATCCTGATTTATCGGGGTCAATACATTGGTTCAAGAATGCCATAAATCATTCGATTTAATTATTATGGTGGCCTCGCTTAAAAAGTTCATTGATATATGATTTAGAGGAGATGACATCAGGCGGACTGACGAAATAATATAAGTTCGAATGTATTTGGGGTAATTTATCGATACTGATTTGGAAATACCGAAAATTCAGTTTTTGATTATTTGATATTATTTAATTTTTACAGTAAAGACATTGTTGATATCGGGACTATTTTTCCCGGATCATTACACGACTGTGCGAAAAGTAATTTTTCCACGCTAAACGTCGCTAAAATAAAGATGAGACTTTCACTGAATTTTTGTTCTGCAAGCAACTCTAAGTGCATTTAGCGTACGTACAAAAAAAAATTAATCTCAATGTGAATACCTATAGTAGAAAAAGTATAGTGTGTGAAAAGCACTTTTCACACTCGTGGGGTTTGTACAAATCCATTCGCGGTTTGTTCTGCGTTTGATTAAAAAACCGTATAACACAAATAATTAAGGATTGTATGTTTCAATAATAATAACATATAATCAAATGAAAGTGTAAAAAATTGACAAAAAAATAAATAAAATAGAACAACCAAAACATCATTAGTCATAATATCGGGTTTTAGCACTGGGCCGTTCCAGAATCCTCTCGTGCCTCAATTCCGATAAAAAATTATCCCTTTGAGCCACAGTAACATGTTTCTCCAATTTCTCCCACAATTTGAGCCTTTCCTGAAGTTTCTTTCGGAAAAAGGCCAAAATGTCATGCCTACTGTGAATAATTTCCTTAAATTCTTTGACAGAAATCACATACAATTCGGTAGTTTCGATAGCGACAAAATTAGAAACAAAATAAGCTTCTTTGGATGAGCCCAGACCTGTTAGACCGAATTCGTCGCCGTCTCGCAAATGAATCATTTCGTGTTTGTCTCGATTGTATACAGCAACGGTTCCTGAGCTTATAAAATAAACGTTATCGGCCACGTCGCCTGCTCTGGCTATAAAATCGTTGTTCAAATACACCAAAACTCTACATTTTGCTATAATTTGCGAAATAATGCTGTGAGGAAAAAATCTGAATACTTTGACTTTGTTTATGACTTTTCTGGCCCAAAATAAGCTAATAGTCTGCCGGACATACAAGGACATTGTAGTAAAAATTGCTTTTTCGTTGTAATAGTTTTTCTCGAATTTGTATTCGTAATATCTGAAATTTAACCAAAATTAACTTAAAAGGACTAAATAAATCAATTGTTACTCTAAAAGTCTCTCCTCCATTTCTTTTGGTATATCGTTTTGGGAAATGAAAATTTTCAAATGTTTCACATATTGTTCGTAAATGCTTTCAGACACTGAAGATACCGTAAACATTCTTAATAGGCTGGCCAAAATGTACAGGCCCCACAAACGTCCTATGATCATTACAATTATCAGTACGAATTCTTCCATGGGGTTTTCTGTATCTAAAGTTGAGCCACCTTTCAAACAATTTTTTTTTACAATTTGGATAATCAACAGAATCATGTAGGTACCTAGGCCCCAAAAATGTGCCTGTACAAAAGAGTAGATAGAGTAGTACATAATTCCTTTAGGATAATTCATTTTATCAATCGAGAGTGGTTCTCCAGTGTTGATCAGCACTGGCATCGAATAGAAAAAGCAAGTTGAGACGTGGGTAAAAACTAAAGCTATATGCACCAGAATTATACAATGTGTTAATGACTGGCTGATCTAAAACAAAAACAAATTATTATTAAATTGAATTTAGGATTTACTTACCTTGAAATCTGTGGTGAATCTAATAAAGTACTGGTAAAATGTGTACATTCTACTGTACATAATTAAACCTCTGACCCATAAATATAAGCATAGATTTATGTCTGTTAACGGACAAGGGATGATTACGAATAGATCGATGAAGAAAAACGATTTACAATATCTGATTGCAATTTTCTTCATGCTGAGTTCTATTGTGCCTTTGCCTTTGTGTCGTTCTTCGTATCCCGAAAAAAAACACGATACTATCCATAGAATCGATGCGGTGAGGAAAACTGGATAAGGACAGAGGCAGCATACTTCCTGAAAAGAAAATTTACATTTTGAATTTTGAAACATCCTATAACAATTCAAATATTTAGAGAAATTCAAAAGGAAACGAAAATTCAAGAGACGGGAATAGACTAAATTTGATACAGAAAAATGGTAGATAAGATTGAGAGAACATTATTCATGTTGCTTCTATCTCTTTCTAAAACTAAATTTGCATCAGCACTCATTTTGTAGCTAGATATATAGATCCAAAGATCATTCAAAATGGTTGGAAAAGAAAAATCAAAAACTAAAATTGATTTTAGGCAATAAATATTATGGAAACTAATGTTCATTTTGAGATCACATTGCTCAATATATGGAGGATTTTCATGATTCAACAAAAAGATTTCCTCAGTTTATTCCCAATGAGGCAAAGAAAAATGTGAATACTCATCTGTCTGTGAGTATAAGGAATATTCACTTGAGTAGATAGTCAAAGCGGGTTCTAGCATCAAAATCCGATCTTATGATCAGATTGAGGTTATCCTCAATCTTGCATTCTTGACACGAAGGTGGATGCGCCGTCCTTGACACGAAGGTGGATGCGTCGGCGCCATCTTGTCATCTGTCGAGAGTGCGGTGAATTCTTGCAATTGATCGACAAGGGTTCGAAATTACAGTTTCCTAAAGGCGCCGCCGATCTAGAGATTTTCCCACGGTATCGAAAAATTTCTCAGACTCAGGTGCTCCCGTCACTACCAACCTGTCTCGAAAAGCTGCCTGTGTAGACAGACCTGTCTCGAAAAGCTATATCGGATCTGTCTCTGGACCTGTATAGCTGTCTACACACTTAATTGTCTCTGGACCTGTATATTTAGAGCACTTTATAGTCTATACGAAGTTACTTGGAGGCCTTAAATAGTGGTATGGTCAATATACTCTAGCCGGGGAACCGAGTCTTCGGACCATCACATTAAAATCCAACTCTCTAGGCAAGGCACTAGACCATTGAGTAATTATTGATAAAAAATGTTGAAATAATGTTTGTAAGTGAATAAAACGCTCTAAATATACAGGTCCAGAGACAATTAAGTGTGTAAGACAGCTATACAGGTCCAGAGACAGGTCCGAAACAGCTTTTCAAGACAGGTCTGTCTACACAGACAGCTTTTTTATGGGACAGGTCTGTCTATTAAGAAATCTTTTCGAGATAGGTCTGTCTACACAGGCAGCTTTTCGAGACAGGTTAGTAGTAAAGGGGGCACCTGAGCCTGAGAAATTTTTCGATACCGTGGGAAAATCTCTAGATTGGCGGCGCCTTTGATCTGAAATTACCTTGATTCAGAGCTGGGCAGGGCTTGAGTGCTTTGTGCTTGTCAAAGTGCTTGAAGCACTTTGAGGACTTGAAAGCCCTGTGCTTCAAGCCCTTTTATAGATTTGTAATTGGGGTTTGCAAAGTCAATTACTTTAGAAAAGTGCTTGGTAATTTGTAATTGAAAAAAGCAATCCAAGCCCTTTCAATGAGCTTCAATTACTTTTAGAGGGCTTGAAGCACTTTTGGGAGCATGAAGCACTTTGAAAGGGCTTGAAGCACTTTAAGAGGGCTTGAAGCACTTTTGGGAGCTTAAAGCACTTTGAAAGGGCTTGAAGCACTTTAAAAGGGCTTGAAGCACTTTAAAAGGGCTTAAAGCACTTTGAAAGGAACTTGAATTGACCATCAGTCAACCTATCCCCCACTTAAAAATTTTGGATCGATGTGTTTTGTCGCTTAATTTTTTTTTCTATTATTTGAACTTGAACCGTCTTATGTCTTTTCTCCCTTAACAATGGAGGTTTTGGGTTGTTTGAGCTTAGAATTGAATTTAAAAAAAAAATGAATTAACTTATTATTCAAATAAATAATTAATTTATATTGGTACCCTATTTAACTTTATCACTAGATTTTTTTCATTTTTCCTTATTGAACATTTTGAAAACCTTAAAATTGAATTACCATGTAGTACCCCAACTACCCCAAGTACCCCAGAACTACATCTCAAAAAAAAAACATACTACTGCTACTCTGTGAAATGTAAAGTTCATCTCTACTATACCAATTCAACTGATGAGAGTACGCGGTAGCTTATGCCACTTTGAGAATTTTATTACAAATTCAAAGTGCTTTAGGCACATTTAAAGAGCTTCAAGCACATTTAAAGAACTTCAAGCACATTTAAAAGGCTTCAAGGCACTTTTCAAGGCTCCCTAAGCACTTTTGATGTGCTTCAAGCGCTTTTCAAATCACTTTGAGGGCTTTGTGCTTGCCAAGCCCAAAGCACTTTGAGGGCTTTGTGCTTGTGAAGCACTTTTGAAAATAAAAAGGAATTTGTGCTTGAAATGTAAAGCACTTTGATAAAGGGCTTAGGGCTTAGTGCTTCAAGCCCTTTTACTGAGGGCTTTGCCCAGCTCTGCCTTGATTTGACCTGAGCCAACCGGTTAACCGTGAAACATTGATACTCCTGTTTGTTCCCACATTGAACGTCGGCAGCGTGCTGATTCAAGAATTTTTCTTATTTACCACTACGACATCCTGTAAAAGGACACAACGAACTTCACACTATGTACGCTAGATAGCGCCATCGATAACATCATGACGTCGAAAATTTTGGGGTTGGACAAGGACAAATCAACGAAATTTCACATCAAAGGCGCCGCCGATCTAGATATTTTCCCACGGTATCGAAAAAACTGTAGACAGGCCTGTCTTGAAATGCTGTATCGGACCTGTCTCTGGACCTGTATAGCTGTCTATGCGGTCTATTTTTTCCCAAGATAGATTTTGACATTGTCCACTTTGAAACATAAACAATACCTCTTGGCCCTGAATGGTCGCAAAATGATGTGTCCCTGCAGGCTAACATCAGTTTTACATATGTATGCCGTGCAAATGGAATCTTGCGACCAATAAGCGGCATTGTTTTTGTTTATGTTTCACTGCACTCTCGACAGATGGCGCCTTGACGTTTGACAGATGATAAGATGGCGCCGACGCATCCACCTTCGTGTCCAGGACGGCGCATTCGCCTTCGTGTCAAGAATGCAAGATTGAGGTTAGGGTCGGATTTTGATGCTAGAACCCGCTTTGACTATCTACTCACTTGATCCACCAGTGATTGCATGGAGGAAGTACTGATGAATGTATTGGAAAATGGGCAAATACCAAAAATTATGATCATTCTAAGTTTGATTCAGTTATTTTCTAGAAAACATATATGGATATATACGCCTAAAAGCTGTAGTTTTCTTTTGCAAATAAGTAGGTAATGGGATTCCATTTCTGGAAAAACTATTTATAGTAGACAAAAAATCTCACCAGACTTTCAGTATCAAATTGCGGTCTGTAAGTTTTCACCCATTCGAAACTGGGAAGCACCGGCCCCGAAGTTATTATGACCCATATACAATAGCAAATAAAGTATATTTCTCTGGCCACCTCCATGTAACTGTAAGGATGAATAACAAACCAATTCTTATGGTTTGCCTGTCTTCGTATTTCCGCCTTAATTTGCGATTCGTTTCGGAAGTTTCTCTTGGAAATTGCCAGATTCAAAGCGGGAATCATAGACTTGTGAATCCATCGGCAAAATTGTCTAATATAGGAAGCGTTTGGAGGCAAGCGAGTTTTGACATCGGATATGTGGACGTTTGGCAAAGTGCACCGGTGCTTTACCAAGTGCAGATTGTCTACAAATGTTAGCCTTTTGGGGCCTCTGTAATCGTACATTTGTGACATAAATGATTGTCAGTATTAAGTAATACTGGTCACCTGGTCATAACCATGTCATAACTTTTCTATTAGGTACAACGATTATAGACAGGAAATTGAAATTTTCAGCGATTCTTGTTCCAGTAGAGGACTACAATCCCTGAAAATTTCAGCTTATTTGGATTCATAGTTCCTGAGATAAAATCGTGTTAAGCAATTTGGGGTGGTTTATCAATTTTTCTGAGTGCCTTTTTTCATAGATTTCGGCTTCAAATCAGAATAATCTGGAATATGGAGTTTGGGGGATCCCAAAGGACCATATTAGGACACAAAATCTCCACAAAAAAAAATTGAAATTGCATCGTTATTATGATTTAGATTTTGGAAAACTTTGAAAGGTCATAATTTCCCCTTTGCATCATATTGCAATAAATGGTTAAATACTACCAAAGTCTCAATTACCTAAATGTTGGCACTTACAATTTTTTCTTACTTTCCCTAAATTATTCTGATAAAATAAGGGCCAGTATTTCAATATGTCTTCCTAATAGGTCAGGATAACGTTAACTCATCCCTAATATACGTTTTGAACCCGAGATCCATTTGCGGTTTGTTTTGTTCGATAAAAGGACCCTACTTGATAAATCCTGAAAGCTTGAAGACCCTCTGATGAGTATTTTTCAGAAGCTTTGAAAGGTGATTTAATAAAAGTTTTGTACGATTCTGTTGTAGTATCTAAATGAGAAAAAAAATTCACAACTTCATTTCTGAGCCTGAGAAAACCCTCTTTTTGTATTTTAAGTCCCTATAAATTAATGCTCTAACTGGATTGTTACTAAGTGATTACTCAAAAAAGAAAACTAGTTACTAACAAATTTTTTTTATTGTAATTTTTTTCTACAAAGAACAATGAAAAATTTTAAAGAACTCCTCCATATCCACTTCATGTTGCCACATCTGGACACTTCTTTTATTTGAACAAAAAGCTGGAAAAAAAATTATAATAATAAAATTAAGGCAACCTCCACAAGCTCAAGTACCTGTAAGGATATCCATGTGTTTTTGTCCTAAAAACAGACAAAAGCAAGGAGAAAAACACAGAAATCAACACTAAACCAAGTATAGCAAAGATTTTCCTTTTCTTCGGATCCCCTTTGCCTTTGGCAGCTTCTGCCATCAGAATCATACCAACTACAACAGCACCATCTATTTAAAAAAAAAATTAAGGACCAAAATTCAAACAAATAAAATTAAACCTAAAAACCAATCAAAAAAAGGATACTCAGTGCCATAACAATATAAGTTTCAACAACAAATTGTCCCTGCGAACTACCGTGAATATAAGAAGTTTGCCCGTTTTGGTTCCTGTGCATGAAAGGAGGTCCTCTAATGTGGTTCCACATCTGACCAGAAGTCATCGCTAAGGTGAAAAACAAAGCCCAAACTCCCCACATTGTTTTGTTGTAGAGAAACTCCAAATTGTTTCTGCGCAAATATAGAAAGCCACCAACAAAAGCAAACAGGAGAGTCAGTGATAATGTTCCTGAGTAGTTTGGTGCCCTAATAATACGAATCTATAAGAGGAGTTTATTATTAGTTGTGGGTTTATTTTGTTTTGAGTTTATTACTGAAATATCTGTTCTTTCACTGATGAAACGTGCAATGGCTTCAGCTCCAAATCCAACCCGTTGGATGTCCATAGTGTCAGCTGCTTTAGGTTTACCTTTGGCAGGGAAATGCATGAAAATTGGAGCTGTATTTAGTTTCATCTAAATGAAAAATAATATTATTATGATAAATAGATGTTGAAAGCAATCACTTGCCATTTGAAAAACTTCTGAACCTTCATCGAAATCAACCATAGCAAAGAATAACTTGTTGCTATAAGCAGGAGAGTATCTGTAGGAGTTGGCTACAAGGGTGTATTCATCACTGGCTTGTCTGGATAAAAAGGTAAATTATGGATTATTATTTTTAGAGGTAAAATTGCTATTTACCTGCAAACAGCACATTGTCTTTGGGAGGCCAAAGCGGTGAACATAACGACAATCGAATAATTCCTGGGGGCTGTTTTAACGTAGTCTTTGAACTTGTTGGCGTTAAATCTCAGTACGGATTTTTTGCTTGATAAATCTGTGAGTTGCTGGACTCGGTCTGCAAGTGTAGAACCCTATAAAATTGTATTATTCAATTGATTGTAGAATATTGGTTTTAGGAGGTTCTTACCTGTTTTTTCCCTTGCCCTTCTACATTGTAGATTATCAGGGGCATTAATAGGAATATGCTGAATGTAAGCAATTTCATTGTGAGGTTTTATTTTGTTATAAAGTTTAATTTAGGAGGACGTGCTATGAAATATTCTGAAATTTTGGGAAATTGGTTATCAATAATACATTTTTCAAGAGGTTGTAACGTGTACACAAAACTTGTACATTTGAAGACAGTGTTGCCAGACCGATTTTTATGGAAACGATACGATATATCGAAACGATACGCCTTCGATGAATTTTTCATATCGATAAGGAATGGTCAAAAACTAAAGGTGCGTTTTCATGCTCATGCAATTTGCGCAAATTGATTTGTGCATGCAAATGCGCAAATAAAACCGAGTTGGGGCCAAATTACAATATATTATTTGCATCTGCAAATTTGCAGTTCTGCAAACATGGCCGACTTGCATATGTGCTCTATTTGCAGAAACGAGCAAATTACAGAAAAAATCTACAATTTCGTTATATTTATCGGAAAAAAGTGTTTGGGCGCTACTGATTTAGGACTTGCGACTTGCAAAATGCATTCTGCTTCTGTAAAATACTAATACGAAAAGTCAGACTTGCAGGTCCTGTATAGGGCAATCCAAACAAAATGGTGGTCAATGCATGGCCAATGCCAAAAAATTGGCGCCATAAATTTAATTCAAGCAATCGTGACATTTTTCATCAAAAAACTATTTTTTGTGTATTTTGTGATGCTTTTAGATGATTTTCTAGTGTTTGAGAGGATAATTTTCGTATTCTAAGATGGAAAGTTTTTAGTTTAAGAAATTATTAGTAGAAAAAAGGCATTGGCCTCCATTTTGAATTCCATTTTGACAAGTCGTTGGATTGCCCTATTGTATCTTGGTGTTGCAGATTTTCTCTAATTCTGAGCTAACTCGTCTGACTTTTCGTATTACAGAAAGAGAATGCATTTGCAAGTCGCATGCAAATTTGCGCATCGTGGAACGGTCCCGCAAGTCCTTAGCCGCTTTCCAGTATGCACATTGGGGCGCTCTGGCGCGCTCCAGAGCACCTCGGGGGCGCCACGCACTAGATTTGTACCGTTCCAGTATCATGACGTGAGACGCCTGTCTTGGTGTCAAATATGTCAAATTTTAAAAATAATTATCTGTTTGTTTGTGCAGTTTGTTTTTTTATTTATCATAAATGAAAGAGAATCAAAACTATATTTTTTAAAATGTTCAATCTTGAGATATAATAAGAAATAAATAAATAAATAGCCACCCACGGATGTGACAGCTGACAGGTTGACGCGTACGTACAGCTACGTACGAGTAGCTCCGGGCGTCAAACTCCCATACTGGAAAGCGGCTCTTGCAATCACTTTGACGACATTGACATTAAAAAATGGTAAATCAGTAGCGCCCAAACACTTTTTTTCCGATAAATATGACGAAAGTACAGACTTTTTCTTTAATTTGCTCGTTTCTGCAAATAGAGCATATATATGCAAGTCGGCCATATTTGCAGAGCTGCTTTGCAGATACAAATATACTGTAATTTGGCCCTTGGTGTCTTCGTTTTCATATGTTTTCATGGTCAGTTCAAATTGCATAAATTTTTCCAACACCAGTCACCACTAGACTAGGGTGACCATATTTTTCTTGTATGAATGCTGTACACATTTAAAATTTTGGGAAAGGTGAGAGGAGAAAGAAAAAAAAGACACAGTACCAAAACTAACACCAAAGTCACAAAGTGCAACCTGCAAAATCGTTCCTGGCTGGGATCACAAGTAGAATTCTACTTTCATGACGTCACCCGCGACCCATTTATTGCGTACAGTACAGGGGTCGTATTTTCGAATATTTTCGCATACGAAATTTGATACGATTTCGAATGCTTCCCATTAAATTTACATTGCTGTCAAGTCAAATTTCGTATACGAAATGTACTCGAATGAATTCGAAAATACGACCCCAGGCCATCATGACGGCTACTAGACAATTTGACGTCATGAAAGTAGAATTCTAGTATAATTCTACTTGTCGTGATCCCTGAGTCCGTGTCCCAGCCCAGGGGCCTTATTCTGTAAGGAACGAAGCGTTCGATTCGGTAGAATTTTTTCGATTGTGACGTCATTTTAGGTTTGGTAGCGCGAAAACGAGCGAAAACTAAACCGAAAATGACGTCACAATCGAAGAAATTCTACCGAATCGAACGGTTGTTCCTTACAGAATAAGGCCCCAGAACTGGGATCACGACAAGTAAAATTCCACTGTCATGACGTCATCCGCGATCTATTTATCGCCTACAGTACAGGCGATGATGCCGGTTGCTAGGCAACTTGACGTCACGAAAGTAGAATTCTAGTAGAATTCTACTTGTCGTGATCCCAGCCCTGGATCCTGATTATCCGATCAATGACAGGCAATGTGGCCACCTGCCAGACTAAACAAAATCGGAGTAGAACTTCGAGAGTAGAAGGTGGAAGGCGTTTAGCCACATGTTTGTGAATTTATCCTGAACCGCTAATGTTTTGTCTTTTTTCTAGAGTTTTTAGAAGTGTAGAATAGAAAGGGATAAAAAAGGTAGTTAGCATTAAAAAGAGTAGGTAAAGCCTTATACTCAACACCGCGAAATTCGCTCTTTTTTGACATTGCTTCGACAATTTGACGTTTAATTGATTCACGCATAAAACGTCAAATTGTCGAAGTAATTTCAAAAAAGAGCGAATTTTGCTGTTATGAGTACTAGGCTTGATACTCTGGATGATCGCGTAAATGACGTAAATCGCAAATGTAGATATGCGGCGTTAGCATAGACTTTCGCAATGACCTATTAACACAGTGTTAATAGGACATTGGACTTTCGCTGTACGTTTGCTGTACAAAATCAAATGCTGGACAGACTTTCAAAATGCTGTACAATACAGCGAAATGCTGTACGTATGGTCACCCTACACTAGACCTACACGTAGGGATATATATTTCATTTTCTCCGGCACCAGATCTCTCGGAATCAAGAACTTTTTTAAATTCTTTTCTATATAGGTGGTTCTCATAGAATTTATTTTCTTTACCACGGTTTCCCTGTTTCATGTTTGCACTTTTATCCACGGCCTGCATTTTTTCAATAGGAATTTGATAGGCTTGAGATTTTGCGTTTCTATCGCTGTACTCTTTGGATTTCACTTTCCAAAGACAAAGAAATGATTTATATATTTCAATGAACTCTATCATAAAATCCTTCTCTTTTTTTGACATTTCAAACAAATTAAATAAACAGGGATACTATTTCTAGTACAATTGTACTACATCTAGCACAATCACGTTTCACCTAGTACGCTAGTACCTCTCTCATAAATCTAGTACAATTTGGAATACGAGTCGATTGTCGTTCTTCGCTCTGTACCGTACCTGAGTTCTGAGCTCTACTCTCTACTTGTGGGTTGGGTTCCACGTTCCCAGAAGTTATTCAGTTATTCAGCTAATCACGGTAATCGGTAGTCGATTTATAACTGAATTTGTAGAAATTTATTTATTTCTATCATTCATGGCCGGTTTCTCAATAGCGAGTTATCCCCGGGTTAAGCGTATAACTTCAGGGTAAACATTGCAACTGGACACGTTTACCCTGGAGTTAAAACCAATCCGGAGGTGACTCGCTATTGAGAAACTGAACCGAAAACAAGTGATATTTACCCCCAATTAGCAGAGCCTACATTTGTATTCAAATTTCAAAATTTGACGCGCTTTCAGCTAGTACACAATGTCGTCAATCTAGAACAATTATTCCCTACTTTCTGGTACAATTTTTTTAGTGCTGATAGCATCTCTGTAAATACATACGAAATAACAGAGAAACAAAATAACACAAACACAGAATCACAAAAAATATAAAGTAAAAGCAAATTGCAAATTGCAAGTTGAGACGAGAAATTGACTGCTTCACGCATGCGGACTTTAGGGCGCTTGGTTTATAAAATTGGAGTGTCGTTTACACGTTCATGCATTTGCGCCAATCACATGCAAATTATCTGTCCGCTCCAGAATTACTCAAGTCAAACTTTTCGGCTTGCGCAAGCGAACGATTTTGGTTTTCACGCTCATGCAATTTGTGCAAATCGTGCATGCACAAATCAATTTGCGCAAATTGCATGAGCGTGAAAACGCACCTTAACACGGAAAAAATTAGAAAATAGATAGGAGAAATTCAAGAAAAATTGGGAAAAAATTGGCATATAAGAGGATATTCATGTTTTTTCTATTCCAGGTTCTTGAAAAGTTGTAGGTACAGTATTGGCTAAATTTTCAAAATCCATGGTCAAAAACAAAAATTGAATGTCATTTGGTTCTATATTCTTGCAGAACACAATTTACCCATTCCAAAACTATATATAGTTTGTCTATATTTGGTTGAGCCGTCTCCAACATATTTGGTTCTAAAAATTTTAAAAATACTATCAGAGAAACCAATAAGTATGTAGGTACCTCCAATTTTACCTGCCTGCAGCTTTCAACTGTACAGGTAGAAAACAGAATCACAAAATCAGTAGTAAGATAGTATTTTTACAATTTTTGGAGCCAAATATATGAGAGATTGCTCAATTAAATATAGATCGGGGCATTGTGCTCTTCAAGAATATAGAATGAAATATAGGGCATCCCATTTGAAAAAACCGGGAAACATGCAAAATTTCACATTTCTGACATTATTCAAATTTTGTTTCTGACCATGGTTTCTGAAAATTCAGCCAAAACTGTACAACTTTTGTATTTGCACCTAAACCTGTGAAGGTAAAGGCTGTAGGTGGGGTGTCAATATATAAAAAAACACACCCTGTACAAATAAGTGGATTATTGCGGAACTTATGGGTGGACCTCTGCGGGACGAGCGCAGCGAGTTCCGCAGCCATCTATACTCACCAATATACTGTTGAACTGTTCAAATAAGACACTCACCTGAAACGTGTAGTTTTTGAACTACCTAATGAGAAAAATTCACAACTGAATGAATCAGCTTAGTATTGTACTTGAACAACATATTGGTGAATAGCTGGGTCCACCCATAAGTTTCGCAACAATCCACTCAATTGTACTTGAATAACTTGTCACAATATATTACTATGTAGTTTGGTAAAGTAACATTACTAATTCCTGTTAAAAGGCAAATTGACAAAAAATAGATAGGTAATCTCACAAATTCTGACTTTATATAATAAGTTATTGTTCAAGCACAAATAAGTGGTCTAAGTGGATTGTTGC